GGAACAATATGCTTTTAGGGCATGATTTCAGTATTTGTTGATGTTGTTCGGTTAATGTGGCGACTGGCAGCCGCGATCAGGGCCTGTTTCGGCAGTGATAGTCTTACGCGAAGCGAAGAATGTGCAACGAAATTATTTGTCGACCCTCATAAATCGGTAAGTGAGGTGACATTGATGGGGGTCGCCAAGATGTAGGATTCACAGGATTGTGTTGGATTTGAACGTGCACCCATGGCCAGTCGGACATCTTCCCGCATCGTGCAGTTGTATCCGGATGTAGCATAAGATCGCCAAAGGATCCGGCTGCTGCTTCTCCCCCTGGTAGTGGACGAGGGACGGGACGGACACGGGAAGACCCTGGCCTCATATTGAATAACAGCATCCAGAAAAGATGGGTACATACCTAGGTACTGAACAAAAACTTCGAAGCTGGTGAACCTTTTTAAGGGTTACGGTGCATAGATGTGTGCTGCTTGAATACTTGAGATATCTTGAGAAATACAATAAAAGTCTGGCTTCTCCATTTGAAGTATAATACAGCTATATCGGCTCATGAATTAAATTGAAATTTGCCACCTGGAGAGACCAATCCATAATGGAGTGACGGATTTCCGGGACTTGTTGTGTTCCACCGTCCCGAGGCCTGGTTAGCCCAGACCCACCCTTCCTGTAACCTCACATCCAGGAGTTAGCCCGTTCCTGTCTGTCATCGAAGCGAGCTTAGCCATCGATACTTGTTGAGACGACTCATGGTTCCGGTAGACCCTCATCCACTCGTCGACCTATTACGCTGGGCCGACCCTTCCCTAGTACCTCCTGGTTGGCCTGATGAGCTAGTCTGTAAATGTGATCTCTGCCGATGCTTACTATATGCAGACGGAGGTGCAGGTCGCATGTTTCCCATGCGTTGTGAACAACCCAGCTCATTTTAAAAAAGCAAAGCCTTTGAATGGTCTTCCAAGAAATCTCCGCACAGTGGATGCCCCGTCTCGTGGTGGACAGGTCAAAGGACCAATGAACGAACTCCTACACAACCTTCTAGAACACTGCTACCGTGCTTGACACTTGATGGAAGAGATACCTTGTCATGCTGGGCGTGAGGAACAGGAAGGCAACATGTATCATAACGCATCCTTCTATTGGAAACTGTGCATATGATATTGTCGTTTGTTCGCCTTAAACTCACTTTACAAAACTCTTGTTCTTTTTGTAGCCATGGCGCCTCAGAACACTGACCCAGCAAGAGCCGCAGAAAGTAACTTGGGCTACCTCCTCGGCGTCACGGCAACCTTCCATGTTGTAGCCCTGGTCTTCGTTGCAATGCGATTGTACGCACGTGTCATCATCGTGAAGGCATTTGGCAAAGACGACGCCCTTATAATAGCGTCAACGGTGAGATGATATAACCGATCATGCTCGACTGCTTTCCTGACTATGTTCGATAGGTCTGTGTCTCTCTCGGCGGTATGGTGACCTACATCTTGGCCGCCCAACACGGCCTGGGACGCCATACCGATACTCTCGAGAAGGAAGACCATCATGAGTACCTGAAGTTGACCTTCATACAAGCGATAGTATCTACTATTGGTGGGATGGCTTTCCTCAAACTCTCCGTTGGGTTCTCACTCCTTCGTCTCAAAGTTCCCACCTTGTACACCAGAATGCTCTGGTCGCTTATCGGTAAGTCTCCTCACCTACAATAACCCCAGAACTACTTCCAAGAGAGCAAATACTGAGCTTCGAAGCCTTCGTTTGTCTTTATACGGTTGTTTCGTGGGGTGAGTGGGCTGCTGTTTGCAAGCCCATAGCCGGCTTTTGGAACAAAGACCTCAAGCCAACATGCTTGGCCGTGAACATCCACAAAGGCTTCGCACTAATGAACACAAGTAAGCATGTGTTTACTCCTCAAAAAAATGTTTTCGATGACTGACTAGGCCAAATGAAGCGTGCAATATCTTAACTGATATCTGTTTCGCATCTATTCCTGTCCCCATAATATTAGGGTTGCAGATGAAACAAAGGACTCGCATCTACCTTATCCTCGTTCTAAGCTTGGGCTACATGTAAGACTACGCGATCTCAACGCTAATGACTTTCGAGGTCCATGTGTAAGAGCTGACCATAGTCAAGAGCGGTAATCATGGGTATCGTTAAGACGGTCGTCCAAAACACAAAGAGGGGTGATCCTGATCAGTCATTGTTCGTCTTAACTTCTACGTTTGCGTCAGTATTATGTTCACTAAGACCCGGGCAGCACGAACGATATACAGTTTTGGGGTTTCCTCCAGGTAAACATCGGTATTATAGCCGCATGTGCGCCTTCACTCAAGCCCATCGTCGGTGGCATCCTCCATCTCCCGTCAACTCAGCAGTCCAAATCTCGAAGTAATTTTGCTACGGGCTCCAACAGCCATCCCAACAAATCCAGAATACAGAGCCGGATACGGGTCAGTACTCGGATTCAGAGCAAGGGATGGATGCGGACAGATAGCGAGATCGAGCTCGATGGAGCAGAGTCCTTCGGCAGCGAGACACATATAACGAGCAATAAGGATGATCGCTCTGGTAGCCACTGAGATGATAACTCCCCAGTAAGGAACCACGAGGCCAAAGAGGCGGTGTTTCTTGCAGTCAATACAACAAAGCAATGCTAATAGATAACAAAGACGCTGAGTTCCCATGACTTATGTAGGAAATCGAGCTGTTTCGTAGTCGGCGAACAGCGGGTGCGTGCCACTGATCGTGAAAATAGAACACCTCGGGCCGGAGCTCAATCGCAGTACTCGATGTCATTGTTTGAAAGTTATGTGAGAAGGCATGTTCGATGTAAGAAGATTACACAGGTTTGCGATTTCGATGCAAATGTCTTGCTTGGGTTGCCCGAGGCAGGAGCGACGTCGTTGGGGTTTGCAAAGTTGAGGGTTGGGAAAACGCCCGCGTCGAGCGAGACAGCTGTCACGCAGCGTGATGCGGCTTCCGAGTTGCATGCACAAGCTACAAACAGCCTTGCGCATCCTATGCCAGCTATGTGATTTGCGAATACCGAGCAGTCTAGCAGTGGATATCGAGGAGATCGCCGATGCAACGCTGGGAAGAGCGATACCTAGGTAGCCTCGGGAACATGCGGGCACCAGCGGCATCTCACCCGCCCGTCGTTTCCCCACCCATGCTCTCTCTGCACGAGTCCAATCCGCCACCTCAGGGCATCGCGTACCTTAGTTCAAAGAGACAGCGATACCGCTACATATGTGTTGGCGATGTTAGATTCATTATCACGGCGCGCTCCGGGTCATAATAGCAGGGTTTAGGCTATGCTATGCCGTCTATATACGCGGAGGCATCACCACGAAAAGCATGAAAAGGGGAGTAAGAAGCAAGCAGGTTCAGTTTGTCCTGTCTGGGTTGTTCAAATATGGCCAAACTGCTCCCTCCGCGTTCTGCCGACAGCGCGCAGTCAATAGATGAAGGTCTCCACCGAGCTTATAGCCATGCCCGACAAGACGTCCGTACTCTATTTGCCAGGATTGTACGTTGAGCCACCCCTGCCATCGTTATAGTAAGTCGAGCCCTAACATTACGTCAACAAAAGCTTTTTTGTCTGGCACAATCTCGACATACATTAGGGTTGCTGTAGTAGTACGAGCCGTCGGTGTTGGAGTAGTGGTAAGAGTTGGAGTTTGAGGCGCCAGAGCCGTAGTCGCGGGAGCAGTAGTGGTTTCCCTACAAAAGATCTTAAACACACATGTAGGAGGGCGGCGAAAGCATGAGAGCCTACCTGGTTGTTGGTACCGGAGCTGGTGATAGTGTAGCCTCCACTGCCGCTGTTACCCGCGGAAGTCGAGCCGGAGCTTGCAGAGTTGGAAGTGTTCTGGGAAGACATGATTATGTTCTAAGCGTTGTCTACTGTTGATGCTTTCAGGTCCAAGTAATGGTCGAGCTCGATTCTGGTCGTGCAGGAAAGAGAAAACAAAGAGTGTCATCCGGTATCTCCGGGTGAAGCGGGGTAGACCTTCTAGGTAGCAACTACTGTTGAACAAGAAGAGAGTATGGAGTTGATTGTTCTATGTACGAAGGAGAAGTCCCTTGTTTATATAGGGACGAGAGAGTACGCTAGTGAGTGAATGTAAGTGGATCACGTGAGAGGATGCAAACCAACAACTACCAGAGGTCGTCGACGCTTTCCCTGTTCTAATCTCATGAGCTTCGCCACACCGAACGCGCTACCACCGGTACCAACGCTCGAATCCTATCGCGCCATCACAAGTTGCCAGGAGAAACCTGTTATTACCACAGTCGCAGAGTGATGATATGGCAATCAGACTGCGCGACTAACATTACGGTGCACGTCTAATTGACATACGGTACCAAGAGTCATTCTCACTCGGAACGAAGCAGAAGATTCCAGTTGGGATATCATGTTAATGGCCACTATGAGTGATTCGTTGAGATCAGCTCGAAAGTTGATAACGGTTTGATCATTCAGCTCTCAATTCTCCTTCTTTATACTCCATACGCATTGTATTCCTTCGACGCCAACACTGACCCCGTGTAATCTACATGCGAGGAAGAGGGAAAGACATTGCTACTGTTTTATGCGTGGTCGAGCAAACGAGAGCACAGGTTTTCTAAGATAACGTACAAAGCAGACGCCGAAAGGTGTTCGTCAGTGCACCCCGCCCACCTCTTACCGCTGTTGTGATGGCGACATCTGTAATGAATCTCCAATCCGAGAAAGCTCCACCAGCTCGACGGCTGCCTCATGTTGTTCTCTTTTCCTCTTTATCCTGTACCACACACCAAACACGACGAACCCTATAACGATCGACAGGCCCACTGCGGAGATGACGATGAAGGAGACGATGGCGGCGGTTGTGGATGGATGTTGTTCGGTGAGTTGCGTTGGTTCGGGGCCGAAGACACTCATCGTTGTCTGTTGGTAATTGTTCAGAAAGTGACGTAGCGCCGGTATGGACGCTTTGGTTCAAAGCAGATACAGTAAGTCACTGAGACACTTGTTCGTTTGATATCTGAAGCTTATGCCGTAAGTTGTATGTCGAGACTGTCGGTGCAGGCGGTATCGTGTCCCTCCAGATGAGCGAAGGACCGTCGAGGATGGCAATGCCACGGTTTCGCAGATCTCTCCACCGCGCCTTGCTGCGCAAGTTCGCCCAACGAATAAGGGCAACCACGATGAAGATCTGAAAGAGAACGATGCTGATGACACCGACTATGACCCAGAGGAGCGGCCAGTCAGTACCGTGGTGCGCTGCTGTTGCGTGAGTGGATGTTGGGAGCGCCGGCATTGTTGAGAATGTGTTGCAATGAGAGCAGTCATGTGATGGTGAGGACTGAAAGGAGGGGATACGAGGTTATCGGTGATGTGAGGAAACCCTGCGCATGTATGAAATGTGATCGAGTGAAGGTGAGTGGGCTGAAATGACGAGATTATGAATCTCTCGTCGTTCGTCGGAGTGACCAGACACAGATGTATCGATGCGCCAGGTATAGGAGCATCAGATTTATTCACGGGGCGACATCGAGTCCACCATTTCCTCCATGCTCGTTTGCTAGTCGCGACGTCAGCTGCAAACGAGTTTGTCGTGCGTTTGCTCTCCTTCCCCTAATCATACCACCTCTGTGTCTGCAATGATGACTTATCATAATCATCTTGTTGTAGTCCCTCAGTACGATACATGAAGAAGAAGCGGCAGACAAGATGTTTGCCGCACTAATCATAGCCACAGCAGTACTCTCTTCTGAATAAGCGTAGGAGTGGCTGCAAGTACTTGTGCCGAACGTGCTGAACGTCACACTGGAAATGAGAATCTTGGGCGCCAGAATCTAAGACTACCGAGCAAATACACCGAAGTCCTGTATGTGGTTGCTGGACCGATTGATATTCCCCTGCCATAGGACTGCCCAACCTCTAGGGTATCTTCGTATATGTGACTCTTTGCAATGCATATAGAGCCCTTGGTGACTTTCGTCGCACTTTGCATCGGCAATATCACATCTTCTCCTTCTCCTTCACAGGACTCAATATTGGACGAAACGCCTTGATCTGCTACAAAGGTTGTCAGCGTCTTCTACCACAAGCTCAGACTAGTATTCGAATACACCAAGACATACCTTACCAACCCAACCCCCCTCACCACGCTCCAATCTGTCCACACTTCTCCAATCCATCGCCTTGTCTCGAGTTCTCGTATTTTTCCTTGCGAATGCTCTCCAACATACGATCTTTCCCAGGATAGCGAAGACCGCATACAAGGCTAGAACGGCGACCATATAGTTTACGACAAGAAGAAGTACGTAGCTCACACCGAACAAGTTGTCGCGCGTACAAAAGCCAGGACCTAGGTTCCAGGAGCGGATTGCAGGGTCGATCAGCTGAGCTATGTTCATTGGACATCTGTGGAGTGTTGGGTAGTCGGGGAAAGGTGTTGAAGACGACATGTTCTAGTTGGTGGCTCTAGAAACTGGCGGATGAGATGTTGGAGACTACAATTTATGTTGTTGCTGTGAGGTAGATAGTGAGTTTGATTTGGTTGTTCCGGAGTTTGTTTGACATGACTGCGGCTATGTTGGCCGGTGCGGTAATTTGAGTTCTTGGGTTGGTGTTACACTGTAGCCACCGGGTCGTTTACTGTGCCACTTCCCTGCCTTACTCATTATAAGGTTTGTGTGGCGCCACTCTATCTGTCGTGTTGCGAAACGCGTGTCTTTGTTTCACGTAGATGACGTATGCTTTGCGCATCGGCATCTAGAAGGAACGTAGATGCTAAAGCGCTGATATGTAACAAATCATTTGAGAGGCCTTGGAATGCATGGGAAAAACATTGGCGCAGTTCTATTAGCAAGAGTGCTCGACGTGCAGTTTACTCATTCAGTCTTTCCATCTCCCACTCCACCCGTTCCTTATCGCCATCCCTTCCCTGTCCTCATCCCCGCCATCCACATATCCGAAGTATTTCCTTGGCCATATGTTCAGCCCAATCTTCTCTCCTCCATTCACCGGAAGTCCGGCATGCACTACCCTCCGATCGCCCTTTCCGTCTTTATCCAGATTAACCCAAAACACCGCGTTCCCCCGCATCGGTTTGAATCTGATGCCCTTGGCTTCTCCATTCATCTCACCTTGCGCTATCTTGTCATCGTATGTACCATGCAGGATGTTGGGCAACGAAGGTTCGACAAGAGGAAAGTACGTATAACCCTCTGTGCAATTGTCGCGTAGGAAAACGAAAAATGAAGCGATGCGATTGAAGTATACCTGCTTGCCATCTTCGAGACTAGTGATCTGGTGTTCGGGCCAGAAGTCTGTATGTAGGTCGTACTTTTGGCTAGGGAAGTAGCGTACGAGTTGCGGAATACTGAAGGGTTCCGAGGGAAGGAGCATAGAGCCCATGAACTTTCGTGCGCGGCTCAGAAGACACAATACTAGCGGATCGTCCATAGAGAGGGGCGCAGACTGAGAGGTGCGACCTGTGACGCGTTGGGTACTGCCTCGTGAACGGCTGATGAAGGATTCGGCGAATTCGGGGGAGCTGGAGAAATATTAGCTGCAGTCGTGAATGAACTCTTGCTTGTGACAGCGAGGCGAGGATACCTACCCAAGTTGGATGAGCTCTTCTGCTTCCTGCGCAGACGTGAAGTTGTTGATGTATATCAGGAGAGGATCGAGAGATATGATCTCGGTCGTGTATTGGTGGCTTTCGCACGCTTTCAGTAAATCCCCTGGGCCTAAAGTTCCGTCTGAGTTGACTGCTGCCGTAGCCTCCCACAACCTAGCAGGAAGATACACATCGAGTCGCCTGGGCAAGTATGAACGTAGTACAGGAAGGAGTGGCTGCTGAAAACCCAAGTACAAAGCGAAAACAGCTAAAAGAGGGGTGGAGAACAAGATTAAAGCATTTGTGGTATAATTGCCACCCTTCAAGTTCATGTCAGCTAGATTTGGGTACGAAGAACAAGTGTGTCTTACAAGTCTTGACTTGTTTTCCATCAACGACGGCATTGCGTTATCTATGAGTCTCTTCGCTTCTCGATTGCGTCGCGCCATATTGTGGTTGTGGAATGAGCTGTTTGAGTTGTAATGACTGTTTTAAATCGTTCGACAGAGGTGTAGTGAATGGTTGCGTACATACTATGCGTAGATGAGCTGCGTCGGACTGGAGAATTTGGGTAATATCCGGCTAGACGACCCCGAACCAGGGTGTATGTGTATCCGCACGCGTACAGTGCTTGATGGATGTCGAACAAGAATAAAAGACTGCAAAGTATCCATATTTTTTCTTTCAAGAGACTACATTTCGGCATGAAGAAATGCATTGGAGGTGCGCAATGTGCGGTTGCGATCGCTAACATGCGAATGATGCAACTGCCTTACGCCGTTTGTGAAAACCATTCCCTAACACACCATAATGCCATGCTGAGATGAGAATGAATCTTTTCATTACACGAGCCCTTGAGAACCAGTCCTTTTCGCCATTGTGCGCTACGTCACTCGAAGAAGACATCGCGCAACGCCTTCTCGCAGCCGTGGTCAGAAAGGAACATGGCTTGATCAAAGAAAAGTAACAGTAGCCCAACCCGAGAGGAAACCTAGACGACATCGTCCACAATCTCCTCCTTAGGCTCGGTGGGGTCGATCTTCATCGGCGAACCGTCAGGGTTGAGGTCCTCGTCAGACTCCTCCTTAACAGCTATGGTGTGTTAACTTTGCACTACATCTGTTCTTACCCGGAGGTGGACTTACTATCGGCACTCAAGTTCTTCTTGCCACGGGTAGCCTTCTTCTTGGGTGAAGACTCGCCGTCAACATCCTGCTTCTTAGAGGCGCGCTTGCGGGGGGTCTTCTTAGGAGTCGCAGCGTCCGCACCCTCTTCGCCGTCATCGTTCTGCTTGGTGGCAGTAGCCTTCTTGCGAGGGTTCTTCTTTGGAGTGACTGGGGCGGTGTCATCGGCAGAGGGGGCCAACAACTTGAGCTTGATCTTGGCCCAGGCATTGCTAGCAGAGCGCGGGTTGCTCATACCAGCATAGCCAGCGAGCTTCTCGTAGTCAATCTGTGATGACTGTAAGTATTGCACCAGAAGAGGAGGCAGACTAGACACATACCTCTGGAGGACCAGACTTGAGGGACTGCATAGCCCAGCCGAGGAGCTGTAGCTCGCGCTCGGTGAACTGGGGAGAAGAGCCATTGGCGGCGGCGTTGTCGTTGTCAGACATTCTCAACTGTTGGTTTCTGTTTGGCTGGTCGAAATATTTGGCTGTCACAGATAAATCGTAGAAGATACAAAAGAGGCGTAAAGGTAGACTATGTTTCCAAGAGAAGCTCACTAGCGCGACGATGAGGATGGCGGCCAGGTGAAGGTGAGAGGTTATCGAAAATGGCCGCACACAGATACAGAATGCAGCCTCACCTACATTGCCATGATGAGATTTCCGAAACGAGCACATGCTATTGGTCACGCACCAGCAAATGCGTGCATGTGCGTGATATCGAGGCGAGGCGAGGCGAGGGTGAATTGTGATGGTCTCGCATCAGGCTTGGGCAGGGGGCAATATCACTAGGGACGATGCCGTACTAGCCGTATGGGGTTCATGCTTTGGCATGTTTGATGGTCAGAGTTGGTGGAGGTGAGCCCAGTGTGGTGATAGTTAGAGGGAAACCACCAGGCTGCTCTGCTCTTTCTCGATGGAGACAGCCGCAATTGCTGGGTGAAGGAGAAAGCAGCAAGCCGCCACTAGCACAAACTGTGAACAAGATTCTTTATAAGACAAAAGCCGGCGACGACCAAAAAGAGAGTAACAGTGAGGTTGAGTGGAGTGACGCGCTACCAAGATGGGCCGCCGGGTGAGCTACTACACGCATGACTCGTGGGACCCGGACGCAGTGCCAACACCCGAATCGCCGACAGAGGAGCCGCTGGAGATTGAGGGGCCAGGCCTGGGAGCTAAACGATACTCGAGCAACCCGACCCTGATCACGCCCGACGGCTACCTTCCCAAGACACGGATCAGAATCATGGCGGACCCTATCGACAGTGCCCTGTGGGTCGCATTGCACCCCGCATTCCCCATGTTTGTAGCTAACAGCTCGTCCTAGCGACCTCCTGCGCCGACTGAACCCAAAGGACGTCAAGCGCAATGTCGACCACATTATCCAGCTCAACCCTTCGCTCGAAGAAGACCTGCTCGAATCCGTCGACATTCCGCTTACCGTGAAGAAGTGCTCCAAGACGAAGCGCGACTTCCTGTGCTGCGACTACAACCGCGACGGCGACAGCTGGAGGAGTCCATGGAGCAATGAGTTCGAGCCGCCCATTGAGGAAGGTGTCACGCCTAGTGATCGTGTCCGTAAGATGGAGGTCAAGGCGAACGAGGCCTTTGACGTGTACAGGGAGCTGTGAGTCTATGCAGAGTAAAGGCGTGGCCGGTGGAGCGTGGCTGATACCGACAGGTACTTCGAGGGCGGCATATCGAGTGTCTACCTGTGGGACATGGACGATGGCTTCGCAGGCTGTGTGCTGCTGAAGAAGGGTATGCAATCTTTCCCGTGTGCCCCCGTCACATGCTAATGCAGGCAGCCGTCAACCCTACCCCCAAGAGCTCTGGCAGCTGGGACAGCATCCACGTATTCGACGCCCAAGACCGCGCACGCACCTCCCACTACAAGCTCACCTCTACTGTCATCCTCTCCCTCGGCACCGACAGCGAAACACTCGGCGGTCTTGACCTATCCGGTAATATGGTGCGCCAAGTCGAAGCCGACATGGCCGTTGAGGATGACATCTCGCACGTCGCCAACATTGGCAAAATGGTCGAGGATATGGAGCTCAAGATGCGCAATCTGCTGCAGGAGGTGTACTTTGGAAAGGCCAAGGACGTTGTCGGAGATCTGAGGAGCATTCCATCGCTCAGCCAGACGAACCGCGACCGCGCGACACAGAGGGAGATGATCAACAGCATGGGTCGGTAGGATGAGCATGGCTTTCACATGGAGATGAACGGTGTGGCATAGATAATATCGAATCAATTCTAGCTCCAGCTGTATACCCACGAGGACTGGACTGTCTCAATCATCAAATGGGCATCAACTTTCTTCTCTGACAAAGGCAGTATATGGTCTAGTGGAGCCACTACGCTCCAATACCCAAGCAACGATTACACCTTCCCCAGGCCAATGCACGGCACTGCGTCACGCTCGATCCTCCAAGTACCGCCTTTCTATAGAAACATGACGACAGACCCTACATCCATGTGTGCACTACTTTCCTAAAGCGCAGCGCCGCCAGGTGACCAAGTTGCGTAAGAGAGGATAAGACAGCCAGAATGCCGTTTGTCAACCCAAATACCGCAGGATGACTTCCACCTTTCTTCCGTCCGCTTTAGTGAGTTTTGCTTCAAGATTCTTAATGACCGCAGTCGAGTGGGGCCCCCGGAAACGGAGCTCGTTCCATACAACGAGTTGAACCCACTCCAACCCTTGTAGTAACTCACAGGCCTCCACGAATTCGTCTAGCTCGTAGACGTTCTCCAGATTACGGTCGAAGAGTAAGCCACCACGCTTTTCAGAACACCAAGTATAGCTTGCCCGGAAAGATATTTCCTTCACATGCGCCAACATGTGCGGCGGTGAGGTCTTTGTCCAGTCAGTGAGTTCTGCTAGATGGATGAACTCGTAGAGGACAGAGCGATGGCTCAGTATCGTTGTCTCCGCGTACAGTTGACGGCACGTAGTTGGCATACCAAACCGGACCTTGACCTCGTAGCTTGTGATAAGGCTGTGTTGTGGAAAAACAAAACCGGTAACGTCGGTGGTCACATAGACCTTGAATCGCACAGCGTCGAAAACATAGCTGTAGATTCGATTGCGGAGCTCAGCAGGTAGTCGCAGTAGCGGTGAGTCTCGGGCGTTCGTCTCAGTGCTAGAACAGGAAGTCAGTCGCCCATCTCATCTCACCTAGTTGACACCAGTCTTACATGTGGTCTTGATATGCCGTTGACGTAGGACGAAATGAGTCGTTCATCTTTGATAGTCTCCGCCTTCGCAGATGTAGGGTGGCGTATAGGTGAGTGAATTGGATTGAATCGAATATGGCTTGACGCCCTATTTGAATTATAGGTGAGTGAGTGCATAGGAAAGATTAAATAGGTAATCTGGAGGTTTTTTGAGTCAAAGCTTTATAAAGCGCACTCGCATTTTCTGTTTGCAATGGAATTTATACCGCGCACGTCATCGCTTTCCTCGGACTACGATCCCTTTGACTGAAGCGCTCCAACTACACTGGTCATATCAACTCGACTTCTCTATTTCTCGACTCACCAAGCAACCCATCGAGATGGCGCCCACGACACGCTCCCAATCTACCAAGGTGAAGAAGCCAGCCTCGAGTATACTTCAGCCCTCAAAGGTCAACAAACGCTCGCGTCCAGGTACAAAGGTCGCGGCTAGGAGGCCTACAAAGTCGAAGAACCTTCATGTGTCGCAACAAATTAGTAGACTAAAGCCTCCACTAGGTCGCACTTACCCCGTGAAGCATCTCGAGAATGGACTTGTCAGTATGGAAACGCCTCCTGACTACCTAGTTGAAACGTGGGGATGGTATTCCTTCGCTAGTAATTCCTCTGCTGACTTGCTCAGGATCCAAAAGAACGCCACAGACTCCCCTCTACTTCGACTACCTGCAGAGATCAGAAACACGATCTTCCGTCACGCAGTTGGCGGAAACAAGATACGAATTGAGCGCGCAGTCAACTTTCGAGCATCGAAAAAATGGCGCGAAAACTCCAACTCACTATGGCACGGCCGAGCGGATCACTTAGACGATCGCCGATTCAAGGCTCAAGGCACTGCATTTCACCTCCCAGAAGTCTGCCGTCAGATCTATGCAGAGACTGCTACACTAGGTTACGCTACCAATATCTTCATACTTCCTTGCACGCAAGGTCTACATCAACGTTTCAATGATAGTGGACCGAATGGTAGGTAATTTCCTGATACGGTGTCTTTGTGATACATGTACTGATTTCCCACGCCCATACAGGCATACTTGTTGAATGGCTTACTCAGCGCAATGCCGCCCAGCGCTCTGCGATTCGATCCATAGAGCCAAACTTTGGCGACATTTATCATTACCTTCAAGGAACATATCACGGGTCATTCGGGCGTGACTTACCTGCGCTCGAAGAGATCTATGTTTGGATTGTTGCATTTAATCGGCCAGAGTTACGTACTCGCATCACCGACAAGATTAGGCAAAAGGATGGTCAAGGTGTACGAATTATTTTCGGGACAGAGAACTGTTAGACAGATGCCGAACGCTCCCTGGAGGGTCTCAATAGCCTAGAAATCATGCTGGGCAGTTACAAAACACCAGCAAGGGCTTGGTGAGCTTGTCTGACAGAGCCCGGAATATCTCATGAAGTTCATCGATTGGTCGATGTAGTAACGATTTGAGTTCTGAGCTGCATGCACGGACAATCTTTGTGAACCATCCCAATTCCGTTTGGTAGAACAGGAGAATGCAACAGTAGATTCACAAGTTCCTTGTCGGTGACTATGCGTAGCAGTGCGCGAGTGGTTTGAACACCCCGCCGCACCGCTCATGCATTAGCGTCGCCGCCAGCCCGCCTTGTTACCAACCCTTGGTGCCCATGGAGACCGTCACAATATGTCCGAACCCGCCGCTGCCCGCCAGACCATGATGTGATTGCGCGGTGAGGCAAGGGCTTCTCACGTCTTCTGCGCCGCTAGTAGATGTGAGACCCGCCGCTGGACTGATACTACTATATATAAAAGTGACGGCCATGTCCATGTTTAAAGTCCATCACAGACTTACCATCTTCAATCCTAACTAAACATCAATTAAACTTTCCACAAGACTTCTTATTACTTTACAATGGCGCACCAGAACCGTCTCGCAAACGCCCACGTCCTTGTCTTTGGCGGCACTTCCGGGATCGGATATGCCGTTGCCAACATGGCCCTCTCAAATGGTGCATTTGTAACCATATCTGGGTCTACCCAAGCAAAGGTTGATACCAGAGTCGAAATGCTACGATCCCTGTACCCAGACTACTCAGCCTCGAATGTAGCAGGCTTCGCTGCTGACCTTCTCGATAAGGAGAACCTGGAATCCAATCTGGAAGCTATACTCGATAAGGCGACCCAAGGCGGCAAGAAGCAGATCGATCATATTGTATTCACAGCAGGCGATGCACTTCAACTGCCTAAAGTTGCGGAAATGAACATCAAAACGGTGATGGACGGCTTCACAGTCCGCCTTCTCGCTCCTTGTGCGCTGGCCAAACTTATTGCAACTGGCGGATACATGCCAAAGTCTTCCAACAGCTCCATCACGCTCACAGGAGGCACGAATACGCACCGTCCGATGCCAAACTGGACTCTAGGAGCAGCAATCGGTGGCTCGATTGAAGGCTTAATCCGCGGTCTTGCAGTAGATCTTGCTCCCATTCGCACAAACATCGTTCATCCCGGCGCAATTCATACGGAACTCTTCCAAGGGCTGATAGAAAGTTCTTCTCCCGAAGCTATAGAGAAATTCAAGAGAGGAGCTAGTCTGCTGAGAGAGTTTGGAAAACCAGAAGATATCGCAGAGGCGTATGGTTGGATCATGAAGGACAGATTCGCGAACGGGACATTGGTAAACAGTGACGGCGGACGTATGCTGGTTGGTCCAGAGTGAGAAGTGCCGAGATTGGACTACTGCGATACAGACATATAGCATCCTATCTCCTTCGGAGACGTCATTTGTTACCAACTGAACCATAAATATTTCCCTCGTTACTGACGCCTTTTATGAAAGATCGACTTCGATACCTCTTCTCTCAACCTCTTGTTTGACGTGATTCCACCTGGTACAATCAGCCAACATACCCTTGAATCCACGCTCTCGTAGACTCTGAAGGTCTTCTACGCTCCTTTGCAAGTCATGCTCTAGCGCTATCTTGAGCTTCAAGCCTAGAAAGCTGAAGACCTCGTTCATGCGTTCGAATACGAGCATGAACAAGTCAATGTCTTCTTTGAAGCTACTGTCGTCAGTCAGGCGCCACTGGATAACAAGGACAATGGCTGCCGCATAGAGCGACGATCCGATATGCGCAGAGAGCAAAATGTCGATGGATATGCGTGACGTATCTTTGACGAGCTGCGCAATATTGCGAGCCGCTGTTACAGCCAATGTAAACTTTGAAGCTGCCTCCTGCATCGAAAAAGCTGTGTTACTTTGGTAATGGAGTAGAATGGCCATGGTATTGAGAATGACATGCAGCCAAACGACATGACCGCGGTCAGCTGGGGGCACTTCTAGGACCGAACTTGCTGAGCGCGGAAGACTTAGTCGAAATTTCACAATCATATTGTCCAGTGCAGTACAGTCTTCAGCGTATTCGAGGCTGTCCGAAGCGTTGTGTAGGGAATACAGTAGTTCAGAAACTCGACCGAGTAAGACATGTGCAACGATCACATAGTGGAAGACGTTCAGTGGTCCTTCTGCAGCCTTTACCGAGTCTATGAGACGCGAGAGGTTCCTGGTAAATGGCAGGTTGTTGAAAGAGCTGACTTTCAAGTCTGGATCCATGTTCTGAAATAGCGTATCAGCGATCGGTATATCGACCTTGAACTGCATCTCCGGTATCGCGTTTGGCCATCCTGTTGGCCATGAATTCATCCGATCCATTATGAACAGCAACCAAAGTGATCTTCGGTACTCTTCTCGCTCAACTGTCGAGTGAGGTTCTGTTTTGCCAAAAACAGATGAGTTCTCATTGTCAATCCTCGCATTCAATGAATGGTCGTTAGCATCCATACAGTTTAGGCCGAGCACGACGGCCTGTCTCCAAACTTTTCCCAAGAAAAGCCAGCTAGCAGAGTAGTCACCGATAGTCCAAGCATGGAACACAAGAAGTAACACGGCCTGAACTGTGTGCAGAGGATGCTCCGGTATTCGCCTGGTGAGTTCGTAAGAGAAGCGTGCTTGCTCGTACCAGTCTCTCGAGCGCTTCTGAATGGACTGTCCAGGGTGGTGTCTGGCCGCTACACAGCAGATGGCATACAGAAGGAGTGGTGCGTCTTTCTCCAAGTCGCCACGTTCCAACTTCGCCAGGAAACTCTTCCTATGGAAACAAGGAAAAGTGTGGTACATGTGCTCGAAAAAGAGCTCGACGAGCTGGAAAATGACATTATGTGGCGGTAGCTGGAAGCTGTCTATTGTTTGGAAGTCCAGCGTATCGTCCAACTGCTCCACAGCAGATGCCGATGTAGGGTATGGTATACTGAGAGCTACGGATGTTGAAAGGCGAGCACCGGGAAACTGGATGACGTCTTGTGATTCCAGCTGTATTGGACCGAAGCCAAAAGTAGATGCTGGTGATGCTGGTGCATGATGCTCTAAACGACTTGTAGGTGGTATGTAGTTGTCTCGATTTAGCTTCGGCAACGAGTACTCGCACTTGAGATTCCATCTCCTACACAAGGAGCAACTCGGGTGTTCTGCCTACAGTAAGCGACTTATCGTCAGCTCTCACCCAACGTGCGACGATGGTGTGGACTTACATCGCATCTCTTTTTACGCTGCCGACAGCTTTTACAGGCCTGCTTGCGTTTACTGACAGAAGCAGGTATGGTTAGTGTCTGCATTGCGCCAAGGGATGACGTTGATGCTGAATAGATTCAGCGTGCATGTAGGTGCGTACGTGGAATAAACGGAACGGAGTGGGCGCCACGCACTAATCGTTTCCGGGCTTAAGTGGATTCTGGCGGATTTAGCTCAAACTCAAGCCCTAAATGTATGTGAGGATACAAGCTTGATGCTTGGGTGATGCAAAGCTTGGAAATTATCTTGCAGATTCTCGTCGGTAATTATATATAACACATTACTTCTTGACGTGTGTACTGATCTCTAAGCCTTGTAGCTCGTGCTTCTATCTTCGTCGCCAGGAACATCTCCCAATCGCATACCCCACGACTTCGTATAGCCTGCTATTGATGCCGGCTCCACCAGGCCAAGTACTTTAATACTTTGCTTGATCTTTTCATGTCTGACCTCCCTTTGATGCCTCCGCCAGGCGTCGCGCATATCCCGTGCTCTATCCATGAGGCCACGACTTACAGTCTCTTCGTCTGGTAGTATACTGTTACATTTCTCTTCAGTCCACATTTCGCTAGCCTGCGATGCTGAACGAATTAGTCGAGACTTCGACATATTCACTAAATTGACCGGAAGCGGCGGTGGGATGTCGTAAGGGAAAGGAGAAGACGGTGGAGACGAATTGTAGAAAGATGACCTCCGCCACGGGTAATCAGACACTGCACTGGACTTCTGTCGGTGATCGTCATGCGTGGTAGCATCGTAGTCGTACGTTGCCTCAGAGTGTGATGTGGTAGCTCGAGACAGGCGCACCAAGGCAAATCCTCTCGGAAGTCGGATCAGAAGACTGCCATTTCCCTGTGAAGACGAACCTGAAGCCAGTCTTCGGGATGCTTGGGAAAGGTCTCTGCGCTCAGACAGTTCCGTAGACCCAGCACGTCGTTTGCTCCCTCTCAGAACTTTTGTATGAGACATTATGTCAGGAATGCGCTTTCGACGTCGATATGTCGATCCCTCTGTAGCACGCGGCGGTAGGTTTTCGTCAACAGATCGTCGTCTACCCTCTCCATCAATTTGACGTAGTGATGTCCAGCGGTTTGATTGCTTGTGCTTTGATCGCCAGCCGGAGCCTTTTCCCCATGCTAAGGGCTCTGGTATCAGCTCATGTGTTCTCGATCGGAAGATTGGAAGGGATATGCAGCCGCAGGTAAAGAATCCCGATGAAGTTGCACTCAACGAGCTGCTTCGAGGCCGTGGAGCCCTACACTCATGGTACTGATCCGCCAGCACGTCATGATAATCTTGCGAGAAGCTCAAAAGCTGCATTCTATCACTCAGCTCCTCATCTTCACATTCATCGTCCATGAAGGGGCTTGTGCGATATAATGGTGGGATCGTCTTGCCTTGCAATGATCGGGATATTTCTGCAGTATTGTCGACGTGCGGGGTGGAAGACCAGTATTGCCATCCAGTTCTAGTATCACTTGGCAGCATTATTCCCAGTGATACATATGCTTTCGCTCTTCTCGATGCATCCGATAATTGATATATTGTATCTGCAGAAGGATTTTCCCAGATCTGAAGTCCTGGCTCCAAAGGGGAGTGTGAAACCAGATGTGCAGCCTCAGTATTAGTTGAAGAACACACAAGTTGATTGTCTCTGATAGGCGAAAGAAGAAACTTCGAGTCTCCCTCAAGTGAGGGTGTCTGGATAGGCGGTCTTGTCGAGCGTGGTGGTGGTTCTGGTCTGCATTCGGGAATCGAATGTATTTGCTGCAGTCGCGGAGGTTCAAAGGTTCTCGTCTCGAGTGGCCAGGATCCAGACTCTGCCCTTGAACTGCAGGTACTGGGAGAAGGCTCTGGGATCAGTGGAGAGAATCTACGAGCTGTAGAGACTGGATTCTTCGGAGAGGGCTGACTAGGAGAGCTTAGGTTCCAATCAGTAGGCGCTCTCCAGGACGTGACATGAACAGCGCTATCTTTCGGCTTCGGATTCGGTGGCACAAACAATGGTGGTAATGTCTGGTCATTTGGAGACAACGGTGAAATGTCGCTCCATGTGTTTGGATTTGGTGGTACTGTTTGGATGAAGGATTTGAAGGATCCTACGGTTCTGTCCATGCTTTTGGGCAGTGATGATTTCGAAACGCGATGACTGACAAGGAACGATAGATGCTCTCGCTTTTCCTCGGTCTTCGTGAGCAATTACAAATTGATAAAACACAGTACTCGATCTAAAAGCCTTCCAGAAGACTTCCAAACAAAGAAGAAGGTATGGAGCATCACGCGTGTTGATTTACAGAAGCGGATTCGCTTAGGGGTGCCCTATCGCAAAACAAAGGTCAATAGCAATTCCAATTTGGAGATTGCGGGACGAACGCAGCCACGCTTTGGCCCAAGCAAGACCTGTACATGGTCGCTCTGTTGCCAGTCCGTCGTAATTATCAACATTGCTTCTCAATCGGTGAGGCACCACGGCGTCCGGAGCGCGGACTTGTGGTCCCCAAGCACATCTGGGCAGCACCCTACTGGCTTCTTGTGGTCACATCTAAATTCAGCCATCGCCGAACGCTAATTTCCAAAGGTGAGGGTGCGTTGTTCAGTACTAACTCGTGGTTGTAGGTGGTATACTGGCCAGTCTGACATGTTCACCGTTGTTGGCTGAAGTTGGTGGGAACAATGCACACGTCACTTTGCTCATCTCAGCAATGCCAAGCCTATGCGCCGGATCTGTGACTAGCGCTCAACCAGGGCCGAGGACCGCCCTTCGACGACCATGATCTGCACTGCTCCTTGCGTACATCGATATGCTACACATTTTAGTTTGTTCATTCTCACCAACGCCATGATTGATAAGATGGACATCTGTCTTCCTAGGCAACAACATTTTTGTGATTTGATCGGGGAGACTCGAAAGTCCGCCTGTTTAGGTTGGCCTAAGTCGGGTGAATAACTCCCCGCCTCAGCACTGGGTGTGGTTCGTCATTAGGCATCGCATGTGCACTGCACGTCTTTGCGCCATAACGCCATATCGCATTTTGAGCCCGATACGAGCCATTCTAGACTGCTTGCTATTGGTTCGGACGACGAGTCTACAGATTCTGGCCGTGTCGTTGGGATGACTGTAAGCCAAAGTCTTGCTGCACTGTCCACCTCTTCGCTTATCGCGACGTAATGAAGCAAAGGGGTTAGTGCGAAGAACTGAGGCTGAAGTAAGATGCCAGGTAGGAAAATGCTACACTCAACGTTGTCCCGAGGTGCGTGTGTGTATGAAATCTTAGCGCGCTGACTTTATGCCGACGAAGTGATGTCTTCGTCCGTCATGTCTCGCAGTCCTGATATGCCACAAATATATCTAGACTGATAGTTGCGCCATGGAGAATAATCAGCTGAACAACCACAGCTTCAGCATTTGCATAGCAAGCCTCTTGGACTTCAGCTGTGTCAGCCTCGTATCCACCTTACATACTTGAACTCGCCTTTTCCGCAACTTATTCAATAACCACCATACCATGGCCAACCCTTCTTCGCAATCCCTTGGGGATGAACTAAAGCCCGAGATACCTCAATCAGATCCTCTAAGTGATTCAGCGTCTCGAGAATTGAGGGCGCAGGAGCCCGATAAGTTTCAGCCTGGATGGCGTTTCCTGGCTGCTTTTGGTAGTCTCTGTATCATCACACTCATGGCCGCATTGGATGCAACTTCGATATCGGTTGCGCTGCCAGTAAGTTGGTCAGACTAACTATTCCTCGCCATGCTAAAGTTCTTAGATTATGGCTAAAGCATTGGGCGGATCTGCTATTGAAGCCTTCTGGAGCGGAACTTCTTTCCTGTTGACATCGACTGTCTTTCAGCCTGTCCTCGGATCGTTCTCACACATCTTTGGGCGCAAAGCACTTATTTATGTCAGTCTGGGCTTCTTCCTAGCTGGTTCCATCATCCCCGCCGTGGCCAATAACTTTACCGTTATCCTGGTTGGTCGATCAATTCAAGGAATTGGTGGCGGTGGCATTATCTGCTTGACCGAAATGGTCGTAGTTGACACCGTACCACTTCGAGAGCGAGGAAAGTGGTTCAGCTTCTTCGGGGCTATGTGGTCAATCGGCACAGTGGCAGGGCCTCTACTAGGTGAGTCACACATGCTAAATCTCAAGATCTGTTCTAACATTACACAGGAGGTGGGTTTTCCCAGAACGTGTCTTGGCGCTGGATCTTCTGGATCAACTTGCCATTCCTTGGTCTCGGTGCTGCCTTGATCACTGTCTTCCTCAAGCTCAACCAGAAGCATGGCTCCTTCCTTGTCAAGCTTCGAGAAGTTGACTGGATTGGCATGGTGCTGTTTCTCGCCTCCACGACCGGCTTCTTGATTCCTGTCACCTGGGGTGGAGTACAGTATCCCTGGGACTCGTGGCGTACGCTTGTACCACTCATCGTTTGCGCCGCGGGTATGGTCGCATTCGTTGTGTATATCGAGTTCTTTGCCGTCAATCCCCTCATCCGCACTTCGGTGTTCAAGAACATGTCAGCCGCCATACTTTACGTCTCTACGGTTATTCATGGAATCATACTGTGGGCTATCCTCTACTACATGCCACTCTACTTCGAAGCAGTGAGAGGTTTTGGTCCGATACTTGCTGGAGTTGCAATGTTCCCTTGGACCTTCACCGTGGCCCCAGCGTCAGTCGCAACTGGTATCGCCATTGCAGTTACGGGACATTACCGATGGGCAAACCGCGCCGGATGGTTTCTCGCTACACTCGGTATGGGTCTCCTCATCATTCTCAAGCCCAACACGTCGACAGTCTCTTGGATCTTCCTGAACCTCGTTGGTGGTGTGGGAACGGGTATTCTGTTCCCTGCCATGGCTTTGGCCGTACAGGCTTCAGCAACTGCCAAAGACCAAGCCTATGCCGCAAACATGTTCTCCTTCTTCCGCGCTTTTGGACAAACGCTTGGCGTTGCCATTGGCGGCGTCATCTTTCAAAACCAGATGAAAAAGAAGATGCTCACGTACCCTCTTCTTGCTGACCTGGCAGTCGAGTACTCTCGAGACGCAGCAGGCCTGGTCCAAATCATCAAGGAAATGCCTGCTGGCGACATGAAGAATCAGCTCAGGGAAAGTTACACGGATGCCCTAAAATACATCTGGATTGTCATGTTGGTATTCAGTGCGGTGGCCTTCCTTGGCAGTTGGTTCATCAGAGCCTACGACATGAATGGTGCTATGGACACTGAGAGGGGATTTGTAGACAAGGACAAGGTTGGGGATGTCGAGAAGGAGCAGCCGATGATGTAAGAAGGCAGAGTGCCGGCATGGAGCAGTTGTTGTTTCTATAAGCATCAGCGCGGCGTTTGGGTTGTTCTAATAGACGGACACATGACGACAATATCTCTCAGTACGATAATGTATAGTTTACCTTGCTACAAACGTTGTCATTGCCTCGCATCGAAACGCGTTCCATGGTCCAGATCCAAGAAGGCCTTGGGTGTATTTTTGGTACGGACGGGTCGGACTTTGCTCGACCGGGTCAAGCATAACGGTTGGGTCTCAGGAGCGGCCGGGATATGTTGGTGAAACACGCCGTCGTGGCCGTTGACAGCGATATGGACCAGGGTAAAAGAGGCGGCCGTGCGTCACGATCAAGAAAATACATGGCGATCACATCATCAGCCTATCTTATCAAACGAGTTTGAGTGATGTGGCAAAAGTGATGCACGAGTACATGACAATGACCTTGTGCCATGATGGAATTTGAATTGCAATTGTCGCTGCATTCACGATGTTCAAGGTGGAGTTGTGGGCGCCTGAGGCATCAATGCCAAACGCCTAGGAGTCTCGGGTGTAAGAAGAAAAGGCGCCGAAGAGCAATGTTAGTGAACAACGCGGTTGGTCGATGAAGGGTGAAAGCAGTGGAAAGCATGTGCGACCATGGTCACACAAAGACGATTGATGATTTGGATACTGCACAAGATCATGGTACTACCCCAGCCACGATGACGGGATGGTGCGTCGTCAACTTGTTAGTCGCACCGCCCTGCAGCGGCTATATAGCGGGCATTACGAGGTACTCGTACTGGGATAAAGGGGCGAGTTTGGATGACGACGGCGCAAGAATCGACGCGTCCTGGTCTGCTGCTCCCAACAACGGCCGTCGTCGAGGAGACTCGAGAAGACGTTACCGCGAATACCCTGCATGCTTGAATTGAACGTGTCTGTTTTATCGAATCGATATTCAATCGTCGCAGTTCGCACATGCACGCTACTGCAAGCTCAATCTTAGGATCCACTAGCCCACTGTCTCCACCAATCACGTCAGCACTTGGCAACTTCCTCATCAGCGCACAGCTCCAGCCCCGGGCGCCCCTTCCCTTGGACGCGATTGACGGCTCTTCTGACAACCCTTCCCAAAAAGCAGTGCCACAGCGGGAAGCCGGCTCCCAGACACCCTCACGCACACGTATCCCTCACCTCAGTCATTCGTTTCAGAAAGAATCCAGCAAAGAAAGCAGCAATCCAGCAGACTGCACCTAATACAACCCCCCGGTACCATCACCGTCACCGTCACATTCACTTGCGCGCCAAGCAAAGCTCCTTCCGGCAGCTCCTCACCCGTGAACGCCTCCATCGCAGCAACGACCGACTCTCGCCATTCTCGCACCTGCCGTGTACAATCGACTCGAGAGGCAATCGCGCGCCTTCCCCTAGGCTAATTGGCAGCGATACCGCGACCTGCAGATCCTCCAACCTGCCCGATACAGCGATCGCGACGACCCTGAGCAAACCGTACCTGCCTCCCCACCCACCGACACCCGTTCCCATGCCTGCCGTGGCTACCTCTTCATAATAGTCGCCCTCGACACTCTCTTGACACACATTATTCTTCACGGCGACCTCGCTGCCCATCGCTGCCATGAAGGAGTCATTCGCTGACCTTCTGCGCACGGCGGCCGGCAAGCTCACCCTTTCGCTGCTCGTGGCATCGCAAGCTACCGCATATAGTTTCAAGCCTGTTCCGAGCCCCAACCTCAACCTTGACGATCTAGGCCGGATAGCCTTCGCTGGAGACTTTGACTCAATATCATTATACCAGTATGAAGGCCAAAATCAGAATACTCCTGGCCACTCCGGAGCCCTACTTACACGCTATCCCAATGGCGTATTCGCGACTATCAACAGCACAGATGGCGACATCAAGGCCATGTGCTCCCTCCAGGTAAATGGTGCAGAGCGAATTATGTTTGCAGGCAACTTCACCGGTGTCGACGACCTGAGTACCCCTGGAGGCATTGCGCTGCTCAATCCTGCCAACGGCAACATAGAGGCACTGGAAGGCCTCACCGGATCCGTCAACGCACTCTACTGCGATAGAGCTGGTAGTCAAGTCTATGTAGGAGGCAGTCTGGAAGGCGCAAACTCATCAAACGCACTCATCTGGAAGAACGGCTGGGAAGACCTGTCATTCAACGGCTTCAACGGCCCCATCAACTCGATTATCCAATCTAATGACAACATAATATTCGGAGGAGAGTTCAACGGCCTGGGCGGCATGAATGCATCGACTGTGACCAGCGAGAACAACACCCAAATCATCCCCATTGGAAACGCAGACATCTCCGCGCAGACGAGCTCTGGCCAGCCCGGATTCTCGGATCCCAAGAGCATCGCATGCAAACCCGACTTCTCCACACAGGGCGCCGATTCGACATGGCTGCTCTCCGACGGAGCACCCGGATTCTGGAAGGCCGACTTTGGCTTCGGTTTCGAGCCAACGAGCATGAAGCTCTACAACACGGACTATCAGGGCCGTGGTAGCAAGACTTTCCGCTTCACAGCTCTCCCAGACGGTGGAATCCTGAACCTGACTTACACCGACCCCGAGAGCGGACGACCGGCCTTCTGCGACGCTAGATGCCCCTTACCCGAGGGCAACACCACTGCGCAAGAGTTCACTTTTGTCAACGTCGTGGGCATGAATGCCTTCAGGATTGACATCTCGGACTGGTGGGGCCAAGGTGGCGGTCTAAACGGCATCCAGCTCTTCCAAGACGCCATGTACTCCTATGCAGTTAACGACTTCAATGAGCCTGAAAACTGCGGTCCTACTACGTCCAGGTCGGAATCGACCACGACTGGATCATGGCAGGTTTCCCCATCGCACGACAGTTCTTCCGAGTATCTCACCACAACTCTACAGGGCTCACCTATCAACCCTGATGCTGCAAGCGTTACTTTCTTGCCCGATATCAAACAATCTGGCAACTACTCAGTGACCATCTACACGCCTGGATGCCAGGGCGACGGCACCTGTGGCACCCGTGGTCGAGTCAATGTTACGACAACAATGGACGGGCAGAGTGATCCCGGCCATGAGCTGTGGCAGACGAACAACTTCGACAAGTACGATGAAGTCTACAACGGATACATCGATGCCACCGATGGTACCCGTCCACAAGTGATCCTTCGGCCCGCAAGCAACCAAGGTCCTGGTCCCTTGACTGTTGTCGCACAGAGGGTGCGTTTCACGCTTTTGAAGGCCACATCCGGTAACTTAAACGGCCTTTTCGAATACAAACCTGGTCAGACTGTAGATGCAGATGACCTTGCGGATTCGGTCATCAACGCTGCCGGCGCCAGCCTTGCTCCACGCGAGAAGGCTCTTATTACCACTGTCACCACGGGTGGCCAGACCTTGTATGTCGGCGGATCGTTCAACAGCAGTGATGACCGCAACAACATCTTCGCAATTCCACAGGGATCAGCGCAACCCAAAGCACTTCCTGGTAAGGGACTCAACAACCAGGTCATGACAATGTTCCACAACGCTAGTACGCTTTACGTTGGTGGCAACTTCACCAACACTGCAGAGAACAACGTAGCAGGCCTGGGTGGAGTCGCTGCTTTGACCAACGACGAGTGGCAACCCCTTGGAGCCGGTGTTGACGGTGTCGTTCTGTACTTGGTACCATTCTCGCTCAACGTCACGGTTAACACTCCTGAGGAGGTCCTCGCTGTCAGCGGCTTCTTCAGTCAGGTCAATGGCTTTGGCGATAACCCCAGCACCAGCGTTAATGACTTCGCCATCTGGGTGCCTTCTCGTAGCAACTGGCTGCACAACCTCGATTTCCACTCTCTCGCCATGTCCGGCAGATTGATGACATTCGCTGATGTCCCCGGAAGCGAACGTTGGTTTGGCGGATCGGTATCATCTGGCGCCCTCCTTGCAAGTGGTACTGCTGAGCTAGAAACTGGAGATGACTTGTCACTCCAGGCCTTCCCCATCAAAATTCAAGCGCAACAACAACAACAACAGCAGCAGCAGACTCCTTCTCGCAAGCGAGCCATTGTTCAGGGACAAAACCTGAACACGACCGGAGTTCGTACCGGTACTTTCTACAAGGAGAATGGCATGAACAAGACTATCCTTGCCGGTCACTTTGCAACCACGGGCGCAGATGATCGTAACATCACTAATCTCATCATCATCGATGGCAACGACTCCGACAAGGTGACCGGCTTTGACAACGAGCTCGATGCTAACTCTACCTTTGCAGCTGTCGCTGTACTTGACAATGTCTTGTATGCCGGCGGTATGATCAGCGGTCAACTTGACAACGATCGCATTGCTGGAATTGTCGCCTACGACCTCAATAACAACGCATTCGCCAGTATCCAGCCGCCGCCGCTTCAGGGTGTCAATGTCACCGTAAACGCCATTGCCCCACGACCGAAGTCCAAAGATATTTTTGTCGCAGGTCAGTTCCAGTCAGCTGGAGCTTTAAGCTGTGCTGCTGTGTGTATTTGGAACACCGAGCGTAGCCAATGGACCGCACCCGGCAACGGTCTTGCTGGCGACGTCTCAACTCTCACTTGGGTTGGCGACAACAGCCTCCTCATCGCTGGTAACCTCACCTCAGGCACCAACGAGACCAAGATCCTTACCTACGACTCATCAAGCAGGCAATTTGCTGTTGTCCCTGGTGCCAATGACCTTCCTGGTCCGGTCACTGCGCTCACCATCGCCAACAGCGACGGAGACCAATTCTGGGCCGCTGGTACCGGAAGCGACGGCACTGCTTACTTGCAGCGATTCGATGGTACCAAGTGGGTGCCTGCTGATGGGTCCATGTTCGGCGAAACGACAGACATCCGCGGCATTCAGGTCCTCACTCTGTCTGAAGACCATGGCAACTCCGACATTATCGACCGCAATCAAGATCTCCTCCTTATGGGTCGGATCAATGTTACTACATTCGGAACAGCATCTGCTGTGCTCTTTAATGGCACTACGCTCACTCCTTTTCTTCTCGCTACTAAGGGCCAGGATGGTTCGACAGAGCCTGGAAGCCTATCCTCTGTGTTTGTGGAGAACCCCAACTCGTTCTTTACACAATCCAGTGAGTCATTCAAGCCAATCCTGTGCATACCTGGTATACTAACGAGTTTTAGACAAGCACCTCGCACTATGGGCCATTGTCCTCATTGGCCTCGCCATCGCCCTAGTCCTTACCTTCCTTCTCGTGGTCATCGGCATAGTAATCGAATGGTTCCGCAAGAAGCGACTGGGTTATTCCCCAGCCCCGACATCATATCCAGACCGGCTAGGCAACGTAGGAAGGCTACCGCCGGAGCAATTGTTCGGAACCCTGTCGGGACCCAAGGCTCCAGCAATTTAAACACCTCTAGACCTCCTGACACGTCAAGGAATACCGATGGAGAGACATGGCAAGGCACATCCAGTGGCCTTGTAGTTGCCGAAGCTGATGTTTCGGCACCTCAGGACACGGACAATGGCTGTATGGTCGCTACGACTGATAGTAGACCTGTACAATCTGTTGACAATCGCGTAGGTCAGTCACTACTGCTGAGGCTGGATCCTACAGAGGAAATGGTTTTCCAGGATCATGTCCATGAGGTTGATCGCTTCCACGCCAACGGGCTACCCCGTGTTTACTTTACAGGTGTTCCCATCCGCTGAGCTTGTCAACTCGACTACTGCCTGCATCGCTCTCGTTCGGTCGCTTGCGATGGACTGAATGGATGGACTCGCGCGTACTGTTTGCGATTATCGATGGGTATTTAGTTGTTTTTTGGCTCTATGTCGACCGCTACACGGTCGCTGCATCTTTTCTCTTCCAGTGTGTTTGATACCACGCGGCTAGCGCTTTACGCAGCCCACCATTATTTCATTGCCTTTTTCCTGTCTCCACTTTCCCTTGCATCGGTGTTTGCTCTGGGTGTCTGCAGATGACACTGAGAGCATCCATTTTCTTTACGTGTTAGTGAGCTTGTGCGTGCGTTGAAGATATACGGTTCAGTAATGTGTACTTCGTCAGTGGGTCGAATCGTAATTAGAAGGGAAATGATGGTGGAAGGAAGATGTTGGATGCGTGCTAACTCACGCTTGGAGTGAGTTGAGGGTGGGAGGACTGGAGGATGAGGCAGAGGTGGAGAAGTTTACTGAGGTGCATGTACCCTAGTGTCCATAATATACTCTAGGAGTACTTACTGGGTTTTGTGCTTTTGGTGCGGCAACATGGAATGCAACGATGAGCTTCAGGAGTACGTTTGTGAGATATCGAACCTTCCAATATATTTCCTACATACACCGACGCATGGATAACAAGTATACATTATGGTACGCAGTCTTGTGCCTTGATCGCAGCATACTCAAAGTAAAAGTATACACAGTCTTCCATCATCTTAGCCTACCAACAGGAGACATAGCAGGTACCTTTAGGATGTGTTTTACTCTAGACCTCAACAGTCATGCGACACTGACTCTTGCCACTGAGATGGAAGACCTACGACATAGAGAATACGACGAACTTCAAAGACGATAAGAGCTCTTTTGAAGCTCAACACGGCGTCCGGGAGCTTGAGTTGTGTGTCTAGATAGGTACAATGAGGCTAGCATGAATGCGGGAGCATAGGAACTGACCCTGAAATGTACTGGAAAGCGTGGAGGACACTATTGACTTGTGGATGCCCTGGTCTAATAGCGTAACTAAGAGACCGTCATACTTTCTCTCCGTCGTCTTACATGTTCCTTAACCAACTGGGCACTTTCCACATGGCGTCCGCTCGAATTTCCTCCTCCAAGTTGAGAACTCTCAGGGATAGCAAATCGATGTAAAGTTTTGTCGAAGAAGAACTCATTTCCCCCATAGCCTCCAAAGCGCTGGTATGTAGTGTTTGGAGCCGAGCGTGAACTTGGGCGATGTAGTCGTGTATGGTGACGAAACGATGCGTGGTAGGTAGCACCTTGAGGGACGGTAGAACTTGTGGACGAGCCATGCCGCAGCAGCGCACAAGCTTCCGACCTTCATCATCTTTGTCTTCGATCCACTTTTGACCATCCTCATCGTCATCTTGATGCTCTGTTTCTCATTCGTATTCCCATTCTTCAAATACATCGACATCGACATCGACGTCGGTAGACGAGACTGGTGGGTCTGTTGCGGAAAATGTCGACATTGGGTGGAAACGACCGTCAGTAATGTATGGCTGACATTCGAAGCCCGGCTCGAGGGTATTCGCAACATCGACTGAAGATTGTAGAGGTCCAAATAGCGATCAGTGCACTCGCAGCATATCCATAGAGGCCTGCACGCCAATGTCAGAAGACCGGAGGCTGTCAAAGCTTGCAAGATCTCCAGAAGCTGGCATCTTGGAAAGTGATTAGAATGTGCGGCGAAAACTGTGCAAGGCTTAAAAGAGCATATGCTTTGTCATAAACAGAACGTGCTCTGTATTTACATAATCAATTGATTGTTTGTGGAGGGAAGTGAAAACGTAGGTGCCATGTAAGAGCGTGCACGAGACAGGGCTTTGGCGCATTTTCTCGCTCAGCCCCCAGTCCGTTGCTCCCGAGACACAAGAAGCCTAGAGTGATGGAACTTGATTTTGGGATGGTTGACGTAACATATGTGACAAATGTCATTTTTTGTTCTATAGATGCCTGAGAATTACCGCTCTCTGTCTCGTTGTGAACAATGGCCAGGCGCATGATCCGAGCCCAGTTCAACAGAGCACCAGATTCCTTTGCTTACTACTTGTATAAATTACCTCGAGTCTTCAAGATAACTTCCATCTCGCGACCAAAAAGCTGGAATAATTCCCGTTTTATTTTGTCAATGTTCACTGCATCGCCTCCCAGGTTTGTATTATACAGACCTGCAGTAGCCACCAGTGTAATCCGCTCCAGTCCACCGAACGTGTTAGCGATAGTTATATCACTGCCCTTGAAGTGTCTGAAGCAACATATCGTAACACTGATGTTACGTATTGCATTGCGCTGGCTCGGCGTGAACAATTCGCATCTCTGAACTTCGAACATAGACCAAAAATAGCTAAAGAATTCGTTAAGACTGAAGAGCAAGACCGCAGACTCCGAGTGAATCTGTTGGCAAGTGTAGCCAAGTGCGAAGAGGTCATCCTTGGATATTCGTTTTCCATCAACACCTCGGATAACAATCTTCTTGAAATTGTGATAGTGCTCGTTCAGATAGATGTGGTGACTGCCAAGAGCGTATCGGTAGATTTTGTTGCGGATTTCTCCAGGTAGTTGCAGCAGTGGTGAAGCTTCTTGGTTCCGTAGGAATCTAGGATGGTGAGCCAAGGGCCCGATGGGAAGGGCAGAATGACTTACATGGCATCTGCCTCCTCCTGCGAATCTCGTGAAACATGATCCCCTGCGCGAAGCGTCTTGCCATCTGGAAGTTTCATGTCTTATGTCGAGAGGGCGCTAGAGATCAACTATGGTAAATCGTTGCTCACGGGAACTGGAATAGGGAGTGCGACCCTAGTACCCTTTTATACTGCAGTTTGTGCGATAACGATAGAGAAATATGGTTACCTGGGTCAGGTGAATAGGCGAGTGTTTCCTACGTCACGCCGTAGAACGAGAGATACCCTCCATGTAAGTAAGCTTTGGCCCCAACACACAGGAGTGAACTAGTCATGATGAGATCGGAAAAATGCTGCTCATACTCAGATGCATTTTCATCATAGCTTTGAATCGCCAGAGGAACTAAGGTACTGTTCTTCTTCTTCCTGACGCACACCTTGCCACATTTCTGCGACACGCCATAACTTTTGCATCCCAATACTCTCCAGTAATGCTCCTCTTCCACTGCGATACATCTCGTCGTATCTATCGTCGTCTACTTCAACTGAACCGTCTTTGTCGAATACTACCATCTTACCCTTCTCAACCCACCCTTCGCCATGAACATATTTGATGAACTGGTCTTGTATGGCTCGTGCTATCTTTCGATCTTTATCACTGAAGTGGGGGTCAAAGTTCTGCAGGAGATACGCGACGTCGAGCTCGTGAGCTGCAAGGCCTTTGTGGGGGCCCTCTATTGGGTTAGGGACGTGGAAGTGGTATCGTGAAGCAGGTCTTGGTGGTGAGCAAGCTTTCCATCCTCGGTACGCAGCCAACGCAGGCAGATAGAAGCGTAATTCAGATCCAAGTATTAACATGCGGTCCTCTTTGTCTTTCCTGGGAAACTCGCCATCAAGACGATATGCCTTCAACAGTTCGTGCGTCTCAGCCGCTGACAGATGAGTTTGACATGCCTTCCTAAGACGCCCATGGCTATCGGGTTGAGCAAGGAGTCGCCCGATAACGATGAGGCCATCGTGCTCTGTGTCCCCTATTACGAATTCTTTGCACCAGGCTGGCTTATGTATAGCGCTTGATCCATCCATTATCGTCTCGATCGTGACTTCACGCTTTATGAATCGGCCGTCGACTGTCGCAGCGAATTGCTGAGCTAAGGGTAGCTTCTGAGCCAACTGTTCCGCATCGGTGTCCAATAGGATCTTTTTTCTGCTCTCGGTGTCCTTGACATCCAATTTAAGATAGGTAGACTGATCCTCGTACATCTTCTGTTGCCACCATCTGTTCCTCCATTTACGCAATGTGGCTTCCCCACTCATGATGATAACCCGGTCAAAGAGTCCCTCTTGCCCGACATTGGCGCAGAGTAGAGTCGATAGTGATATCGCTCCCGCCGACTCGCCTGCAGCAGTGATGTTGTTGGAATCCCCTCCGAACCCAGCAATGTGCTTTTTCACCCATCTGAAAGCTAGTACCTGATCTTTGTAGCCCATATTGCCGGCTGCGCCAATCTCATCGCTAGCGAGGAAGCCGAAGATGTTTAGTCGATAGTCCATCGAGACACCAATGAAGGGTTTGTCAGTTTCTGCACCTCGCTCGACCAAACGGCGTAGATCATACTGTGGCCAGCTGTTCGATCCGATGCTGAGACCGCCTCCATGTACCCACACAAATACTGGTAGCCCTCGTCTTCTGCTCTGTTCATTGCTCTGAATACCCTTTGGAACTGTGACAATCACATTCAAGCAATCAAATTCGTTCATACTTTCTGTTTTCCCTTGACCATGGCCGCAAGGTAAGACAGCGTCTCCGATCAAGGTCAAATCCCATGCTTGAGCTCCATGCAATTGTGGACATGACGAACCGAACTGGGTAGCATCGTAGACTCCGTCCTTCCCAACCTCTAGTTTATCATCAGGAATCGGTTCTTGATATCTTGCTGGTATTGATGCGTATTTGAGGTTGCGAAACTGGATTGTCGATGCTGAAGGTTCACCACGCAAGGTCCGCCTTAGTGTAGGATGGTGTAGGTTATTCTCGTCGGCTGACATTGCTCTTTGTTACTCCGCGTCGTCTTCCGAGACTGCTAATCAAGATCTTGGGAGGTACGCCAATTTACGTATCACCCAACATCTGCCGTCGTTGGCCACCCCGCGTCATTCCCCAGAGCGATAGCATGGATGTGGGGAGATGTGGGGCTGGACCTCGGCAACGGGACGGAGGCATCTTACGGACGCAAACTCGATGCTGTTGAGCAGGAGGTTTTACTGCATGGACTGAATTGTGGCGTTGAGGTTGAGGAAGGATGGAAGAGGCACGTAGTCGTCCGTAGACGCACTCGTTGCAGTCTGACGCGCTAGGCATGCGGATGTCGGGCATCTTCGGCGCAGTCGCGTTCGCATCAGGCCAAATTCTTATGCCAACATTCGCTGATTCAGTCGATGGTTTTTGGTTTGGATCATCTCATTTCCCACGAAGCAACTGACTCAAAAACGCTAGCAGGAGCGATAGTGCTAGCTAAATAGCAGACAACAGCAGCTACTGATGAGAGTAATAACCATTTACACAAGCATAGCTGGAGACTACTACGATACAATAATGACGTTACTCTCTGGAGAGGTTCAGTGCAGAACAATTGTCTCTGCATTTACCTGTTTACGCCCGTGGACCGATCAAAGCCTTATGACGACCTTCGTCTCCTCACGCCTGCTGAACCGCGCGTAGTATTCTGGCGCATCTTCAATGTCAATGATGCTGCTGACAATGAACGAAGGATGAGCCCGACCAGAAGTAATGAGAGGTACCAGTTCCGATGCAACACCCTGTAGGGGAAGCACAATACCGCCGTTGATAGCAATTTGCTTCGTATAAGCCGTGCCAATACTGAAGTCATTCAATGTGTCGTTGAACAGACCGACGATACCCATACCACCTCCGGGTGCCGTTACCTGAACCATTTCGCGTAGGGTGATGGAAGAGTCAACCGTGCCGTTTGCGGTCTCAGCTTCGAAGCCTACACACTCAACGCTTCTCCGGACACCTCCAGGTTCCCTCTGCATGATCTGACGGACTGCAGATGAGTTGCGGTAGTTAATTGGTATAGCACCGATGGATGCAGCAAGGTCCAAGCGGTCTTGCACGTGGTCGACACTGTAGACGCGCGAAGCACCACGAATAACAGCCGAATACGCGGCCAGGAGACCGACTGGCCCGGCTCCAAAGACAACAACGGAGTCTCCCGGTGTGAATCCGGACCAAGTGACACCAGACCAAGCAGTGGAAAAGATATCGGAAACAAACAGATAATCGATGAGTGTCAATTCACTTGTGGATGCGTTGACAGGGACTGGAATCAACGAGTTGCCGGCGAACGGGATTCTGGCATACTCCGCTGTTGTCTGAGTCAGCATATTGTTCTGAAGGTTAATAAGAGGGGTTTGAGGGAGACTCACTTTGCACACCAGGAAGTACCTCCCCCACTAGGCCGCCAAAGCCCAGCGGCGGATCATATACATCAGGCTCCTGAGTCCAGTGTCCGTTGTCTAGATTGTCTGGAATGACTACGTAGTCACCCACGCTCAGAAATTGGACGGCATCCCCTATCTCTGTGACGTAGCCGATAGCTTCGTGACCGTAAAAGTATGGTTGCTCAGGCGAGCCTGATTCCACGTGATAGGTGTGCATATCGCTCCCGCAGATGGCTGTCATGTTTATCTTGACGATGACATCCATGGCATTAAGGATGGTCGGAACGGGGACGTCGACGACAGAGACATTGAGGGCTTGACCGAATTGTGCGACTGCGCGCATCATAGCTGTAATATTCGAAGCCATGTTACCGACAAAGTTGTGATGACAATCGAAGATGGAGTGTGTGATAGTGTTGTGGCAGACACATTACAGCCATCTCTCTTATACAGATCTCTTCTGTCATGACGAAATCAATCAGGACATCATCGTCAAGCCAAGATCCCATGAGTTTGGATGTTATCTGGGAATTGTGGCCCTCAGCTAGCATGCCAACGGTCGGAGATAATGGAAGGATGACTAGGCTGTGCTACATACCTCTCTTCCCTATCAAGGTTGAAGTTGAGGTTGCGTTCCACTTAGTACCTCTACTTGCTATTGATTCGTAGATCGCGATGTCTAATGTTGGGCGCTCACTGTCTACTCTTTTGGCAGACGGGACATAACATAGGGTCTCGCATGGTGATAAAACTGGTGTCTTCTTGTCCCTGATTCCTTCAGATCTGGCTGCTTGATCAAACCATATTGATTGGTATCACCAAGTTCTTCCTGTACTATGTCCATTCGAAATCCATAAACAGAATGATTCAGCGGGCAATGCATGCCGCACGGCACTCCCGAAACCAGTACACAACCTAGGTACCCGTGGCGATCGTTATTCCGATGGCAGTATGTCATCGTGCTTGCTTGGCTGCGCTAGTTGTGCGATGATGGGAATGAAATGGGCATGGTTATTCCCTTCTGTCGCCTGAGCGTGTCAATTGCATCAGGCAACTACCTTTCGGTTGAGGATGAAGGTGATTGTGGATAACACATTCGGGGTTTGCCTAAGCGTGTAAGCAGGTTGCATTAGCGTCTTGGCAGGTTGCTCCTCCCTGAAGTCTGCTGTGCCATCCCAACGCCAATCATGACCTCATATCCGACATCTCTTCCTTGGTAGTTTATATGCTGCTATCTCCAGGCGATAGTGGTACTTCGCGATTTGGATGGTCGTCTTGCTAAACCTGTCAGCTACGTGCATGGTCCGGGCCCATAACTCCATGAGTTCCTGGCTGACTGAACTTGTGTGAAATGTATGTACGCCAGCTTTATTGACACATGGGCGGTAGGCCTTTAAAGGCGCTAGAGTTGGTCTTGAAAGAAGCAACTGCTCATTCTGCCATTCAATCCAATCCCCTCCGAATTGTTCACCAAGATGCCTGGCTCTTCACCTGCGAAGCCCGTCGACTGTATGACTGATTTTGATGCCAGTCATCTAGTAGGAAAGACCGCTGTCGTTACCGGAGGTACGCATCACTCTTCAATCTGCTGGTGCAAATACAACAGCTTTTTCAAGTACAATCATCGGAAGAGATAGCTAAAACAATAAACAGGAGGCAGTGGTCTTGGGGAAGCCTATGTTCGAGCACTGGTCAATTCAGGGCAGGTCCTTCTTATCATTCTTCTCATCACGAAAACCTTGAGTGACTAACAGAAAGACAGATTGAAGGTATGCTTCGGAGATCGTGATGCCCACCGAGGAGAGCAGCTCGCTTTTGAACTCAAAGACTGTCGCTTTGTGCACTGCGACGTAACAAACTGGGACAACCAACTTCGGCTGTTCAGCGAAGCTGCCTCGTTATCTTCCTCTGGGAAAATTGACTATGTAGTCGCCAACGCGGGTATCATACATGCAGACGACGTATTCACATTCGAAGGTAAATCCACCATCTCGCAAACTCAGTCGGACTCATACGTCGAGCTAACTGCCCACAGGTCCCAACCAAATACCCAAGAAGCCAAATCTCGACATCATCGACGTAAACCTCAATGGCGCGCTCTACACCTGTAAACTCGCAATGCACTATTTCATGACCCAAAACGGCACATCACCGAATTCCTCCCAAACAGACACCTGCCTGATCCTCATTGGCTCAGGAGCCGCTTACCTCGACTGTCCACGCGGACCCCAATACAGTGCCTCCAAATATGCGATGCGTGGTATCATGCACTCCCTGCGTCGTACAGCGTACTACTACGGTTCTCGCATCAATATGATTTCGCCATGGTATGTGCGCACGAAAATTCTGACGGATAACGACTTTGATGCGGTGGAGAAGGCAGGTGTACAGCTTGCTACTACAGAAGATGCAGGGCAGTGTTTGTTGAGGATCTTGAGCGATGGTAGTATCAATGGGCGGTCACTTTTTATCTCAGCAAGGAAGTGGGCACCGAGGGGTTATATTGATCTGGATTTGGATGAGTATCCTGGAAATGATCTGTTGGAGGAGATTCAGGCTGATCAAGTCAAGTTTGCGCCTGTAGAGGCGGGCTTGTTCGTCTGATCATGCGTTTGGTACCATAGAACCTTCCTCTCTGCGTAACTCAGCAAAGCATGGAATTTTGACAATATAGTCGGAGCATGATACGCGTCTCGCCGCGTCTCATGCCGAGAACGCAAGCATGTTTCATGGTATCGTTACGTTAAGCGCGCGTATTCACAGACACGTACCTACTCGTCATCCTCATCATCCTCGTCCTCCCCAAACTCAACACCATATTCGGCACACACATCCCATCGATCTCCCTTAGCACTCTTGCTAACGTATTTGGTAAACCTCAAAACACCACGGTCCCTCAATACAATAGCCAAATTGTTCCACGCAGCCGGCTGGCTAAACAGAATACCATCGTCCTCATCATCCGCTGCAGACTTGTAGATTGCAGGATCAGCTTTCGCTTTGCGACGCTGACCAGCACCGGTGGAGGTCGAGGCCTCAGACGTAGGAATATTAGGGTGGTCGTTGTCTTCGTCGCCAGCCATGTACATTTCGTATCCCCCAACTTCTTCTTCAGGCTTGGGCTCTGGCTCCTTTGCTTTACCATTCTTCTTGCTCTTTTTACTGCTGCTGCCGTTTTTCTTGGGTTCTTCAGGCGCTTCTTCAGGCTCTTCATCTTCATCACCCCAGCCGCGGGAGGGTGTGATGCCCAGGCATACTTCGAGCTGCGGGTCTTCTTCTTCGTATGCGGTCGCGAGGGTGTAGTCGAGACCTCTTCGGAAACGGCGCGCAAAGATGTTGCTCTTAGTCAGTGTGATACCAGTCACAAGCGAGATCCACTTCATGAACGCTGGATGTGGGAAGAGGATGTCCACGAGGTCGTCGTAAGGTGTCATGCCGTCGTTCTCAGGATACGGTGTCGTTGGTATCGGTTGGATTGCTTTCCGGTAGAGATAGCGCTGCTTATGCGGTGGTCTTGCGACACCAACCATCGACTCTTTTGAGTGTGGGTTGTTGGGTAAGCTTGGGTTTGCCTCATGGTCTTTTGACTCGAGGTACTCCCGCAACCGCGCAGAGAATTTGTTGGATAAGAATTGCGCAAGTCTTAACGAAGACTCGTCGCCGAACATATTAGACAACTCCTCTACTGTATCCGGTACCAGATAGTTTGGATTCATGAACTTGATCAAGAAATCGATGTCGTTCTCAGTCAGCTCATCATCTTCCTGTTTCGCCTGCTCTTGCCAGTCTGGGTTGTCTACCCAATGCGATTTTGGTTCATCGAAGATGTCTGCCTTGCCTCCTTGCAGTTGAGCAAGCGAACTCTTCTCTGCCAGCTTCTCCTCAAGACCTTCCTCGTAGCCTTCCTCGCCCTCTTGGGGAATGTGGAACCATCCGCTGATGGCCATGCGGATACGTCCACCATCCTCCCCTGCCTTTTCTTCCAGGCCTCTCCTGTAGACCTCCTCGACATCGTGGAAACTCTCTCCGGGTTGAACAGTGAAGAAAGAGAGCTGATTCCAGGCCGGCGGTATCGACAGGGAAAAGTCTGGTTGCGGTACCCTGACTTTGTCGCCTTCTGGTGTTTCAAGATGCTCCGTTGGGTACAGTCGTAATGCGCCTCCCCATTCAGGCTTCCATGGGATATCGGGATCTAGCAAGTATAGAATCCAGCTTACGCGCCGACTTCCAATGACGTCGTCGTGGCATAACAAATGACACCCTGGTGTGTAAACATTCTGCGCTGCGGTCAATGCAATGCCTTGTATCGTGAGTCACAAAACCTACCACTGCCATATCCGTCTTCACGCCGCTCAACGGCCCAGATGCTGTTATCGAAGACAGATACTTGCGAAAGGCAGACGAGTACAGCGAGTCGCGGAGGGTGAGCAGGGAAGGCAAGCGCTTGAGCGCACTGTCGTGGAGACCATCGAGGTTTGCGAGATCGCCAGATTGGTGGATCTTGTAGATGTCTGTCTCTTTGGGCGTGAAATGGATGTGCTCGCGAATTTCGTTGCGGACATTGCGGAGGAGCGTATCGTCGACGAGATTGTGAATTACGGCGTGTTTGTAGCTATGACTTGAATTAGCGCTATCCAGCTCAAGGAGGTGGAGATTGGCACATACGGCTGGGAACCGGCGTACTCGCTCGTATATGTCTCGAGTACCTTGCCGTCGAAGAGACCGTCGCGGAAATTCTTATGCGCTTCGTCATCGGAGATAGCTCTCTTCTTTTTCACCTTGCCATTGGCAGGCGCCTCATTCTTGCGCTTAGCCATTGCAGAAGTTTAGCGACAATCTCAGTTTTGCGGGGAAAAGGTTCAGTTGTCGCGCAGGAGCAATCAAGGGAAACTTGAGCATAAATTTAGTCGGCATTAAGCTTTGAACATCGCCGATGCTATCGCCTCCCTCACACCACAATCTCTCCACCTAACCCACTACAGCATAACCACGAAGATTAATGCCCAGCGTGGACGCCTTCTCCTCATGTTCACCGATAACAGACCAGCCGGATCGCGGGCAGTGCTTGCAGAACTATAATCAAGAGTCCACGACCTCAGTCACGACTGGTAGGATGGGTATTCGCTAATGTGCGGAGTGCCAGCCACTCCGGTTGGTCGACACCCGGAGACCACACGTCCGGTGGCGTCGATCGCGTTAAACTTTACTATTATGGGAGATCAACTTGGGTCATCATGCTTTCACATGATGAGAAGTATAGACAAACAGGATATCTGTTTAGGTGGTCATGAATAGCAACTGTCTATTGGGTATCTCAAAATCGATCGACGTGCTACGACTAGGGACGTTTATCGAAAGCGCTACGCGTCTCGATACAGGACTGTTACGAGCGCTTGGTGTGGTGTTGATCTCCGCATGAGTTCAGTACAGCTGAGTAGGTTGCGTGGCAGTGGTGACCACGAAGCCACAGTCTGCGACGGCACATCTTACTCCTCGTGGCCTCCTGCAAGCAGCCTAGCCATCTTCTCCTCCAGCATCTTGACATCATTCCCAACAGTCTTGACGTTGTTGACCATGGCCGTTTCGGCCGTCTTCATCTTCTTCTCCAGAACCTCAAGTTGGCGCTCCCACTTTTTGATTTCTTGTTCTTGCGTCGACTGCCTGCTCTCTAGCTCTGTTAACACTGTATCGGCTTGCCAAGCGCTTGTATGCACGAGTCGCAGTGTGCGCAGACGCTCTAGGACCAAAGGCAGAATGGGCGATAGCTTGTCGACAGAAGGCAGGGTGCCATATAGCGCATTGATCTTGGCATCCTGGTCTGGATATATGGGAGCCTTGTTGTCGCCAGAAGTCGAACCAGCTTGTGCAGCTTCCTGTCGGACCTCCTTCAGATGCTCCGCTTCTGCTGTGAGCTTCTTGACGTTCTGCGTAACAGCATCCATATTGTTGGCAGAGGCGTCTCCAATCAAGCTGAGCGTCTGTTCCAACCTCGTCAGGGTAGTGGCGACGGGGAAAGGCGTATGGTCGCTTAGATCCGGCATTGTGTTTCCGTTTAGGCCCAAGTTGTTTTCCATCTGAGTGATTCGCTTGTCAAACTCGGCCGCTTGGTTCAGCACAAACTCCAGTTGGCTCTTTTGTATCTGGGTGCCAGGTAGTGGCGGCTTCTTTGCAATGGCATCGCTGATCTTGGGGCTGGGTTCAAAGGGCTTGTAGCTCTCAAACTTTTGTACCGTCCGATCCAGTATCGCCTGTGCACCCCGAGCACCGCCCTTGTGTGCTGTGTATATCGTGTCGACTTTGCTCGCTATCAACTCCATCATCTCCTTGGGGTCTTGCTCCTCGATCTTCGACTTGTCCCCGCTCTGCACCCCGCGCTCGTACTCCTCTTCCAGCCCAGCTAGCTCCCTCTTGATCCGCAGCAGCTTCTTTGCAAAGCTTTCCTCTTCTTCGTCGCTATCATCTCCTATTATCTCGCCTCGCCGTCGCTGGCGCTGTGTCGATGTGCGGTAGGATTGGCGTTGTGCGGTGATGTTGTCCGAGAAATCGACCCCGCGGGCGTCTATTCGTGAGGGCTGGAAGCGGCTGCGGGCTTGGTCTGGCTGGAGCCGCTGGTGACGGACTGCCGAGTCCCTGGGGTCGTCATCGTCGCCTTCGCCATCGGATTCGGAAACAGCGGTGGAGGCTTGTATTGTAGACACGTCTTCGGTGAGTTCGGGCGTCTCGTATATGTCCGGGGCGGTGTCAATGCCTGGGAGATTGTCGTACTTGGGCCGTGTTCCTTCAGACATGGCGGGTGAGTGCGCAAGAGGGCTATCGCTTGTTTGGCCCAAGTTGGGTGAGTTCGAGGGGACGCGTCCAAAGTGGCAGTCGCGACTCACGCTAGTCTCCACATGGCATAGTTGGCATGTGTTGTACACGGAACAAGTGGGTGAAGATATGATGAATGGTTTGCTCTTGCCTGCATTTCAGGCAGGTTTCAATCGCTATCTACATGGTCTGCACTCAGCGATACTAGACCTCACACCGGATACAAATGACTCTGCTCGAATGACTAGACCCACGCACGTCATGTTTGAAAACAACTGCTTGACCTTGTCTATGCTTGAACCTTGAAAGTACGACCGCTGGCTGTCTTGCGCTCCTTCTCCTCTGCCTCGGGTCGGGCTCTGCGAAGAACTATATTTTGTCAGTACAAACATGACACAAGTAGGACGATGTAGAATACCTTGGAGGAAGTCTGCAGTCCGCTTGCGCATCCTCGTGTGGATGAAAGCCTTTGAAGCCTTGATGTGGTAGTGAAAGTAGTCTCGGAAAGTTTGGATATGCGAGATAACATCCTCACGCCGTTGCTTGGCAAGATGGCGAGGGAAGAGCACTGCCAGAGTTAGCCGGGAGTACAGCAAGTGGGCTTGGAATGCGTACCAAATGTGATGTAGCCGATCTCAGCTGAGCCAGAGTTATCGACTCCTGGGATGCCTTGCAGCTCTAAGGGTGGGTCGTTCCTGAAGAGTACTTGTGGTGCGTTCTGAATAGCTCTCCGTCTGGCGTCGACGAACTCCTGGAGGAACACCTTTCCGAATATCCTGTCTGTCTCTTCCCGGAACACAGTGGAGAAGATGACGGTGACACGGTCGTGGCTGGCCTTGATGTAGATGGCCTCCTCCTCTCTGTAGTGGATCGCGCGCACGGCACCTCCTTCTGCTACACCCTGCGGCGCCGACTCCGATGTGTATTTGGAAGCTTCTTCCTGCAATTCATGGAATTCGTCAAAGGCCTGCTCGAAGGGCGCAGCCATGGCGTTCCGCTTTAGGAGGGACACACGTCGGACCAGGTCTTCTTTGGCCTCTGCACAAGGTCAGCATCTTGCTCCACCAGTCTGGTCATGCACCGTACCCTGCTCTTCCGGTAGGTTCTCCAAGTCAACCAGCACCGAGAAGTCGTAGCCAGACTCGGGTTCCACGATGTAAGGCCCATACTCTCGCTCCAGCACTGCCTGCGCGCCATACTGGACCAGCTCCTTAAAGCACTTGATGTGCAACGACACTAGTATCTTTGTCTTGCTCTCCGGTGTCGAGATGTGGAAGGTGACACCGTCAAAGTCGGAGACGACCTGGTCAATGTTGGCGGTAGCTCCTCTATGTGCTGTTAGCTACCTGGCTGCTGCTGCTGCGGAGCGGAAGGCAGCGGGGTATTGCGCACCCATTGATTCGTTCCCTGAGTAGGGACTCGATAAGCACGTTTTGGTAGTCGAGAAGAAGCATGTTGGCGGTTCAGCTTCTGGTAGGCGGGTTGGCTTGGTCGGGCGGGCAGCTATCGAGGGCGGTGATGCGGAGGACGGAGGTGTGCTGTGATGCTGGAAGGTGGGCCTAGCGCAATTCGTGGGGTTGGCCCTTGTATAAAAAGTTTCGAGAAAGTAACCAACTTCCAACCCGACCGTTTCTAGTGGCGCATACCCGTCAACTTTGTATACGGAGCGCAATGACCTGAAGATAGTGCTTCTGAGCTTCTTCCAATACTCCCGTCACGCGATATCCGATTTTTCTCTAGAGGCGGCGCAAAATGGTCAAATCCTACAGGTAATGCGCACATGCAGCGCAAATGAAACAGAGCTCGTGCTGACTGCCATGTAGCAAATATGAGCAGACCGATGCTTTTGGCGTGGTCGCGACTGCCACTTCCAACATCATTTGGACCCCAGAAGGCCTCACCCAGCCCGGTTCGACTCGATCCGCAGGCGCCGGACGCGCATACGCCGCCGCCAACGAAGAAGTGCTATGTTGGGATGTAAAGAAGGGTGAGCTCATGAGCAGGTGGCGCGACAACACCTGCACCGAGGAAGTAACGGTCATTTGCCGGAGCGAAGTCGATCCAGACGTTTTTGCCGTGGGTTACGCCGACGGAAGCATACGCATTTGGGATGCGCGAACGTCGACCGTCATCATCAGTTTCAATGGACACAAGTCTGCAGTTACCGTCCTGACTTTTGACCAAAGTGGAGTACGCTTGGCGAGTGGTTCCAAGGATACAGATATTGTGGTTTGGGACCTGGTGTCGGAAACCGGCTTGTTCAAGCTGAGAGGGCACAAGGGCCAAATTACTGGTCTACAGTTCCTCCACCCCAGCAGTGCTTCGCAAGAAGATGGCGCAGAGGACGAAGATATGGACACGGACGCAGACCAAGCCTTCTTACTATCTACCAGCAAGGACGCTTTGATCAAGATTTGGGATGTTACCACTCAACACTGCATCGAGACCCATATTGCACAAACCAACGGAGAATGCTGGGCACTCGGCGTTTCGCCCGATGGCAGCGGTTGCATAACGGCAGGCAACGACGGCGAGCTCAAAGTGTGGGCTATTGACCTGCGGGGTCTTCGAAGAGCAGGCTCAACTATTGGCGAAGGACCAGAACAAGAATTTCTCACGCCCAGAGGCATACTATACCGGACAGGCAAGGATAGGACACAAGGCATCTCTTTCTATGCCAAGGCTGATTACATTGCCGTACATGGCGCAGAGAAGGCTGTTGAAATATGGCGGATAAAGACACCAGAAGAAGTGCGGAAAAGCTTAATCAGGAAGAGGAAGAGAAGGCGGGAAAAGGCCAAGACTGAGACAAACGGGGACGACGACGCTGATGCTGATGACAAGGTCAACCCCGCCGATGCTGAGATAGGCGACGTCTTCGTACCTTACGTTACCGTACGGACAGCTGGAAAAGTTAGATCGGTCGCATGGATGCACATCAAAGGAACGAAGAAGCTGCAGCTACTGATCGGTACGAACAACAACCTTGTTGACGTTTACGAGATACCCCAACGAAGCAAGACAAAAAGCGAGGAAGCACCCGAGTACAGCCGCACACTATCCGTCGAACTCTCCGGTCACAGAAACGATGTACGGGCGCTCGCACTCAGCTCCGATGATCGCATGCTGGCATCCGCGTCGAGTGGTGGACTCAAGATCTGGAACGTCAAGACGCAAAATTGCTTGCGTACCCTTGAATGTGGCTATGCACTTTGCTGCGCTTTCTTGCCTGGTGACAAGATTGTTGTTGTCGGAACGAAAGACGGAGACATTGAGCTGTACGACATAGCGGCATCCACGTTACTAGACAAAATCGACGCACACGAAGGAGCCGTTTGGACTATGCAGGTACACCCTGACGGAAAGTCTCTCATTACTGGCAGCGCCGACAAGTCCATCAAGTTCTGGAACTTCGAGATCGTCCAAGAAGAAATTCCAGGAACGAAACGCACGACACCTCGCCTCAAGCTCGTCGAATCGCGCATACTGAAGGTCAACGATGATGTTTTGAGCGTGCAAGTTTCGCCCGACTCTAAACTCCTCGCCGTAGCAACGCTCGACAACACTGTCAAGGTCTTTTTCGTTGACTCGCTGAAGCTCTTCCTCAACCTCTACGGCCACAAGCTGCCTGTGCTCAACATGTCGATCTCCAGCGACAGCAAACTCATCGCGACCTGTTCTGCGGACAAGAACGTCCGTATCTGGGGTCTCGACTTTGGCGACTGTCACAAAGCGCTCTTTGGTCACGAAGACAGTATCATGCAAATATCCTTCATCCCCCACCCCGTCGATAACGATGAACGCCACATCTTCTTCAGTGCCTCCAAGGACCGCACAATTAAGAGCTGGGACGGCGACAAGTTCCAACAAATCCAGAAGTTCAAGGGTCACCACGGTGAAATCTGGGCCATGACTGTCGCTCGAACAGGCGATTTCATCGTCACAGCGAGCCACGACAAGAGCATACGCGTCTGGACCCGGTCTGAAGAGCCCATTTTCCTCGAAGAAGAACGCGAACGGGAACTAGAAGAAATGTACGAAAAGACACTAGCCACCAACCTCGAAGACGATGAGGACATGACTGGCGAACGCGCCGAGGCAGTCGACGCCAGCAAACAAACAATCACCACACTCACAGCCGGAGAACGGATCCAAGAAGCCCTCGACCTGGGAATCGCCGACCTAGACGTTGTCCGAGACTGGGAAACACAACGCAAAACCAATCCCAAAATTGCCCCGCCACAGCGTAACCCCCTGTTTCTTGCTCTAGGCAACATATCCGCTGAACGCCACGTCCTCAACACCATGTCCAAAATTCCTGCTGCTCAGCTGCACGACGCGTTACTCGTTCTACCCTTCTCATCTCTACCCGCTCTCTTCACTTTCCTGGCTATCTGGGTGCGCAAACAGTGGAACGTAACACTGACTTGCCGCGTCCTCTTCTTCATGCTCAAAACGCACCAGAAGCAAATTGTCGCCAGCAGGGAACTCAAGACGGTGCTTGAGCTTATGCGAAATGACCTCAGGAAGACGCTGGTAGGTAACAAGGATTTGATTGGGTTCAATGTTGCGGCGTTGAGATTTGTGGGGGAGAGGGTGGATGAGGCGCAGTTGGTTAGGTGGGAGGATGTTGACAAGCTGGACGAGGAGAAGAACAGGAAGAAGAGAGGGTTTGTGGATGTTGCGTAGGTCGGTGGATGAGGTTGCATTTCGAGGCGTTTTTTCTCTCTTAAACATTTGGGTGTCAAAAGTAGTTATTCGGTGTAAAGATCTACGTTGCAAATACTCATTCATCGTGCTTGAAATGGTCTACACTTTCTTGAGACTGATTTGAGTCAGACGTAATGCTTCGTGCCGACCGGCCTTGGTTCACTTTCGTAGTGAACATGTCTAATCCCACAGGTGATTGTACAAGTCTTTCCAGACGTGCTGCCCAGTGTCCACACACACACACACACACACACACACACACACACACACACACACACAGCATATTTCCGCTCTCTTCTACTACCAAAGCTGTTTCCAATCCAACGTCTATCCCATGGCCTTCAGGAAGTTAGCCTCCTTGATGCTAGCTCTCCTCTTATTCCTCATCGCCTTTGTCAACTCCTCTCGCGCATCCTGCGCCTTGATCGACCCCTCCAGACTACCGTCTCCAGCCGGTAAGTCAATAGTTTGCTCGTACAACGGCACTTTTGGTACCATCATCTCCGGGTTCATGGCTTGTTCCTTACGGAGGCGCTTCGCAGCTAAACGACGTTGTTTTTTTGATTTTGCTGTACGCTAGTTAGCAAAGTCGGTCCTTTCCACATAATATAGATACGGGTAAGCAGATTCAAGAGAAGACGTACAGAACAAATCTCCCGCTCCAGCCTCGGCCTTCTTCTCCTGTCGGTCCAATATCGTCCACAGCCAACTCGGGTACTCGTCATCAGCCAACGCAACAGGATCCTGTCTATCTTTCAAGAAATTCAATCCCTTGAGTGGTTGTCCAGCCGGTATACTGCTCTTTACCAGCGGCGCAGCCTTCTTCTTTGCAGCCTCCGCAGCCGTGGCCTTGAGATCCGGACTCGCAGCTGGCGTTAACGGCTCGCTAAAAGGCTGTGCGGCGGACGTAGAAGTTGCGGTTGGCGGTGTGTGCGAGGATGTCGAGTCGCCTTGGCGGCCTGCGGATTGCGTTGCGGTGCTTGCGGAGATTGGTGTTGCATTGCGGAGGGGCGTTGTGGTGGTGAGGAAGCGTGAGGCTTGTTGTGGGCGTGGGAATGGAGTTGTTTGTGCACGCGAGGCGGCCCGGAGACAGGTTCGACATATCATCTTGGATGTGTGTGTATGTGTGGGCGTGGCTTTCAATTGGATCCCTCCTTCGTTGTACTGGTCAAAAGTTTGAGATGCAAAGGGAAGGATGCCGAGGTGTTTCGCCGATTCCGGATCACGCTAGAGCCATCCTTGTCTCCATGCCTGCCTCCCGCAGTGTGCTCGATCTCGGGAGCGCGATGCATGGTGCATAAACGCCATCCCATGCTTCGTCGTTGTTGCCTGTGTTTGAGTCTCGCATGTGGCTATCGCTATTGTGATTTTGGCAGGTGCCATACTTCAAATGGCACCTTCCGGATCCAGCACGTCCCATGGACAGTGTATGATAACAAGATAGCGGAAGGACATCACCGATTAGGCAAACACAACCAAGTGCACAAGGGATGGATAGGTGTATGTGTACATTTTGATTCCGAAGCATGGTCGTCTGTGTCAGACATGAACGCAGTGTAACCACCACGTCCAGCAGACCCAGACGCATGCATCATGTTCCTCCGATTCCGCCTGCGGCTGACCGCCTCAATAACATCGTACAAGACAAACGTGAAAGATTCGTTAGAGATAGTGTGGGATTAGTGCCCAAGCTTGACGCTGGTATTCCGGAACGCCTTAGTGTGTTCCTTCCAACCATGCTAGCAGATCAAATATGAGACAAAGAAAAACTAGAATTAGACCAAGGAGTGGTGGGATCAAAGTCCGCAAGTATGTACACGGAAGCGAGAGCATAAGACATCGTCTAAGGTATAGTGTCCAGAGCAAAAGAGGCCGTCCAGGAAGCACGGTAAAGAAACTTCTCAGATCCAAGCCATGGGAGGAGCTTGGTGCGGGACGCCGAACCGATGGCTGAAAAGTGGTCGGATCTCTGAGAGGTAGTCGGCAGCACAGAAAGACGCGAGGTTCTTTGAGCGCATAACCGAAAAGTCAGCCTCGGCCTCTGCATCTCGTACTACGCCGCCGAATTCCTCAACAACCTCGTTGAGTTGCTCCAGTTCGCGGCCAAAGGGGTGACTCTCTTCTTCAATCGTGCCTTTGAACATGTCAAGTGAAGATCGCTGCTCGCGAGAGTGACGTGCAGAACCAACGCTTCCACGCGAGTTCACACTGCCACGGGTACCGACGTTCTGGAGAGATCGCTTGTGCGCCAGTCGCTCGTGTGCGCGTTTGCTGTGCGAGAGAGCCCTTTGAGGAATAGCAGGCACAGCCTCTACTGGCTCCTCCTTGACTTGCTTGAGACTGGTGGTTGACGCAGACTTCTTGAGTTGCTTGCCAGCGGCGGAAAAGTAGCCAGAAAGGTGGTTGGGCGCAGGCGAGCTGGGCGAAGACTCCACGGAAGAGGCATCCGTAAGGGTAGTGTCCCTTGATCCATGGGAAGAGGCTCGGGAGCGTGTTGACACACTGTGGTCCGAGTCGTCTGCCGAAGAGTGGCTCAGAGAGGTTGATGAAGAAACATTCCTTAGGGTCGAGATGTCGGGGGCGTTGTACGAAAGCATGTTGGTAGTGGATACCAGGGCGATAGGAAGAGATATTTTCGAACGGTCAAAGTTGTTGGGGACTTTGACGCTCTGGCTACGAGTTGGTGATACCGGAGACTCCTTCGGGTCGTCAGTCCGCTTAATGCGCCTGGTCATGGCACGAGCAAGAGACATATTGATGGATTAATTCAAAGTAGATGTGCGATATTGCAAATAAGGGTCCAGCTGTCGGTCCTGGGGCCGGTAATTCAGGCGGTGACTATAGTTGGTCGCTATCTAGGTGAGCTGCAGATATGCGGGGTATTGCCGGATGTAAATTGCGCTTGGTGGTGGCACGAGGTCCAAACAGTCGCGAGCTAGAGTAGCACTAATGCGTTTGCTACGTTGTTCTAGAAAGAATCTGGAAAAGATCACGCTGTGCTTTCGGTGGTGTATTTGAGACGCGTGCCCTTATCAGTGTAACAGTGCACTGGACTTGGGAGTCGTATCTGTTGTACGGATGCCGCTAAGATGTTGGCTTGGGGTCCGGTGCAGTTGATTCCAAGGACCCGATCGAGTTTTTGGGTTCCTTTGATGGTCTTTTGGGTTTTCTAAATGTTGGCTCCGTGGCGCGTAGTGATGAAGTGAAGAGTGAATCGTGGATATGAAGAAGGATAGTCTGTCAAAGAGCGTAGAGACCAGCTGTGTCGTAAGGAGCGAACACCGGGCCGCGAAATGAGGGAGTGAAAGCTGCTGTGGAAGGCAACGATCGCGTAAGGCAAAGGAAGGGAGAAGGCCTGAAGAAGAGGGCGCGCGATAGAGCGACTGAATGGGTTGAAAAACCAGCATCCCCGGGGCGGCAGGCTAACCAAGCCGCGTCGACATGTCTCTCGAAGATTGGTAGGAGTGACCGGGGCAAGGCCAGAACCAAGCAAAAAGCAGCAAATCAGAGTGTATTGGTTCCTGGGATGCTGAGTTAGTGGCGTCGACACAGCCCGGCTAAGTTTAGCGGGCACTATGTTTTCTATAGCTGGCGAATGGGATTGCCTCGCAGAGAGTGCATCTGCCGCCCATGCGTCTCAGATTGAGCCGGGGCTCGTTGGCCTGTTTAGTTGATCCGCACGCTTTCGTTGGGGCTCCAAAGGCCCGCTGTTTCAACGCTGCCCACAATCAGAGATCCACTACCGAGCTGAATGAAGGGCTTTCCCTATCTTGTCGCACGGCATTGACATGGGAGATGATTTGGGTGCATGGCGGATAGGTGAATAAAAATTGCAGTCGAAGGCCGGTGGCACAGCTGTCATTCTGCCTAGACAGCTCACCACGCATAGCATGAGATATGGATAAGCTCCGATGCCAGCGAAAACGGTACCGTGGTTGTGTTGGCGACGGCGCAATCTGTCAATCCGCTCCTCGTCCGGTCATCTGGCACTCTAAAACTTTGTGCAGAGGCGCCAAAAGCAGGCCTCTCACTCGGTGCCACAATTGTACCTCAGAGGGACGCACGAATGACAGTCATCATCAAAGGGACCGATGGCATGATGATGGTTTTGACCCTCCGAGGTTTCTGCCTTGCGTGGCCTTGGTGGTTTCGAAACTGATAAGGGCCGAGACGAGGGAACCTTGGGAATGACGATCTGGCCGTCATCTTGCGAGATCGAGACTCTGAAGCAGCGTCGTCGTCGGGCCCACATTGTGGAGATGTTGGTGCCCTAAGCTGCAAACGCAGGCAGATCAGCCGGTCGCTTGTCGGCTGCGTGGTGTGAGTTCGCCCGCTCGTTCACTTTGCTTCGTCACGCTCGGGCGCTGGCACTGAAAACGAATTTGAGTTCATCGTTTACCGTTGCTCGTGGTGATGGTGATGTCATTACAACGTTCATTGATGAATCGTGCTGCGACACGATGAGGCTATCCGATTCAGACGAGATGAAAGGAGCTGAAAAGCAAGGGCGAGCTATCCAGGTCGTCGGGCAATTTTTGAAACGCGTGCGGGACCCGACTCGCGAATGCGACCCGCGAAACACCACTGTACAAGGGTCTCTCGAGCGTTGCGGGGTCAAGCTTCACAAATAGCTTGATTGTGCAACATGTAGATAATGGTGCAAATGGTATCAGATCTTGGTACATTCGCCACGTTTTGTAGGTCCTATATGCCCAGGGTATCATCGTCTACTCCTCCATCGACTCCCAGCCCTTCTCGGCACCCTCCTCCTCGCCCTCGTCGTCGCTCTCGCCTTCCTCGCTATCTGAGTCTGTGTCCTGCTCCTCAAGACCCACGAGCCTCTCCTTGCCATCTCCTCTAATCGCAGGCACCTTGCTGGCAAAGGCTGCGCGTACGGCTGCGTTTGTGCTCGTGTCCCAGATCTGTACTGCACCTTTGCTTCCTGCGACTGCCAGCCGGAAACCGACTTCTTTATCGGGTGCAAAGGAGGTTGAGAAGACGCGCCCAACACCAAGATCCCGTGAAACGACCATGCTTGGTCCGTTGTCCTGGATGTTCCACAGTTTTACTTGCTTGTCTGTTGAGCCTGTGACCAGGTAGCCGGGTATCACTGGGTTTATGTCGAATGAAGAGATGGATTCGTCATGTGCTTGCAATACCCATACCGGCTTTGAGGCAGAGGGGTCTTTTGGCGCATTACGAACGTCGTGGTAGTGTATCATACCATTCTCAGTAGAGACCTGGGATTGTCAGTACGACGTGATGGAACTCGTGTTACAAGACTTACGTAGAAGTAGTTGGGGTCGTGAGGATTCCACCGCACAGTCTCGACGTCACTCTCAACACCCCATCGTGGCGCCTTTGCGTCGGGTGCACGCACGTCGGCTGCCACAACAGTTCTGTCGTAGCTACCACTGAGCAATGCAGTGGCCTCGACGGGATGCCAGGCTACGGAGCAGACCTTGTCTGTGTGGTACGTGTATGACTTGGCACACTTTGTCGTGTTCAGGTCCCACAGCTTGATGGTCTTGTCTGCGGATGACGAAGCGAGGAAATTCCGATGTTGTCGGTTTGCTGCAAGCGAGAGGACCGAGTCGACGTGGAACTCGTCGTTGGCCTTCTTCGACTTCTTTTTCTTCTTTTTAGGCTTGTCCATCTTGTCCTCGGCGCCTTGTCCCAGCACTGCGTCTGGATACATGCTGTCTACCACGTCCAGATTCCAGATCTCAATATCGGGGTCCATGGTTCCAATCGCCACATAGTTGCCCCTGCCTTCACTCGTGCCTACAGACTTGCCCACAGGCAGATCTAACCATTCGACGGCAAGAGGGATGGCAGGCAGCATGATGTCGTGGTGCACGTAGAGATTGTCGTCCTCGTCCTCGTATACGTAAACTTCGAGGTGGGCGACTTCGTCCTCTATGCGACCAGCCAAAACTAGGTTGTCTGTAGCCAAGATTTGAAGCTCTTCGCGCTCTTCCTCGTCCTCTTCCTCTCCGCCCTGCATGGTGATGTACGGATCGTCCTCGTCATTCTCGTGGAAAACCAGGTTCTTTGCGTTTCCGAACATGGCCATGGTGTCGCCCTGGTCTTCGGCAACATCGTCGTCGTAGTGCTCGAGGTCGTATTCCTTGAGGTCGTCATCATCGTCCCTTGAGACTTGTCAGCATGGAAGAAATAGATTTTCCGGGTGCACGCACTCATTGTCCTTCTTGGACGCCTTGGACGAGGTGCCGTTCTTGACCTTGTCCTCAGCCTGGGCCTCCTCGAGCTCCTCCTTGGCGTCCTCGAGTTGCAGGTTGGCCAGCTTGGAGATGCGCTCGTATTCGTCCTCGTCGAATTGGTATCTTGAGGGGAAGGGCGCCGCAAAGCCACGCGGCACCCATGTTGTCGCCGTGATCATAGACATTGCGCTGGTGGTGTCAAGTGAAATGCGCAGTGAGGGCGCAAGTGCAAGGCGCGTGGGGGACTTTTTCAAGAGTTGGAAATAATTTTGGGCGCCCCGCAACGATTGGCCGAAGCTCCTGGCCCGCCTATCGATACTGCGGACCTCCGAGCATCAACTTTCTCGACATGCCCACACCGCCCCCTCTACAGCACGCCATGGACCGCGGCCACAGCCCAAAGCGGCGCAAGCTCGACCCGGAAGAGTACTCCATCGCGCCCCGCCCCAAGTTCCGCAAGCCGAACCACGCAGCATCCTCGAGGGCGCACCCGCCCAAGTCGCACGACAATGGCGCAGACCCGTCGCAGAAATCCTTCGACGGCCCAGAGCCGCTGGTCCAAGACTTCGACTCCATGGCCCTGGATCGCGACTGGTACGGCGGCGAAGAGAATGGACACACGTTCGGAGACGACACCCACAACCCGTTTGGCGGTGCTGAGAGCACATGGCTCGATGCCCAACGCGAGGCTGCTCTTACCGAGAAGAAACTGAACAACCGGGCCAGTATGAGGGCGCAACAGAAGCAGAAGGACGTGGACGCTTGGGAGACGAATCGCATGCTGCAGTCCGGAGTCGCCCAGAGAAGGACGTTTGACGACGACTTCAACGACGACGAGGATGCCATGCGCGTCCATATCCTCGTCCACGATCTGAAGCCCCCGTTCCTGGACGGCAAAACCGTCTTCACAAAGCAAATCGACCCTGTTCCAGCAGTTCGCGATCCACAGAGCGACATGGCTGTCTTCAGTAGGCGCGGCAGTCGTGTTGTCAAGGAGAAACGGCAGCAGAAAGAGCGTGCCAAACAGACCCAGGAGGCGACAAGTGCCAAGGGAACCACATTAGGAAACATCATGGGCGTCAAGGAGGAAGACACGGATAGTGCCGCCCCAGGGCCCGAAGACGAGGAGAAGCAGGGCGGTAGCAAGTTTGCTCAACATCTCAGCAAGCAAGAGGGTGCGAGCGCTTTCAGTAAGAGCAAAACACTGCGGGAACAGAGACAATATCTTCCCGCCTTTGCAGTCCGCGAAGATCTCCTGCGCGTCATTCGAGACAACCAAGTCGTCATCGTCGTCGGTCAGACGGGCTCGGGAAAGACGACTCAACTGACCCAGTTTCTGTATGAGGATGGCTACGCAAAGCAAGGACTTATTGGGTGTACACAACCTCGTCGCGTTGCAGCTATGAGTGTTGCAAAGCGCGTCAGCGAAGAGATGGAGGTCAAGTTGGGCGGTCAGGTCGGATATGCCATTCGTTTCGAGGACTGCACCAGCAAGGAGACCAAGATCAAATACATGACGGATGGTGTGT